CGCGCTCCTGGCCTTCATTTTCATCCACGCTCATACTCTCCATGCTGCCTTCATTAATTCCAGGTTGCATCGCGTTCCCAGATCGCCAGCGGGTTGGCGTTGGGGTGACTGGCATATCTTGTGTTTCCGCGAATTGGGAGGCCACGTTGCCCACTCCGGGGGGTGACGCGTGTGATATACCACCACCACGGGGTCTCAGAGCCTCCATGGTGGTTTATAGGTGCCAGAAGGCCCCTATCGGTCGATTGACGCGTGAAAAAGACGTGTTTCTCTCAATTGAAATTTCCAGGCAATTTTGATGTTCCACCATTAGGGTAAATAGACAGGCGATAGAGAAGTTGATTGTCAAAATATCTTCCCAGGGGACATCAAGATGTGCAAGTGCAAGCATTGCAGTGACTGCTGGAACTCCGTACGTTGTAGCTTCGGAATCAGTCACTGTATCGGGTATCCTCCAGGCTAGCTCTCCATTGATCTTCAGGTATTCAGCAAACGAGCCGATGTTAAGGTACTGGCCACCATGGACAAAGCCTGCTACCCTGTCGCCAATTTTCCACTGGTCCACCATTTTACTTCCAACCTGGGTCACCTCACCAGCATAGTCGCAGCCAATGACACTGTTGTTTGGAGAAATGAAGTCGACACTCTTGAAGTCGATTGGATTGAGTGCAACCGCATGCACTTGGACGAGTATCTCATCATCATCGACTTGGGGAAAGGGGATATCCGTGATTCGTGCACATTGACCGAACGAAGAGCCAGATGCGAAATTGATGAGTTGCCTCACCATATATCGGTTGGCGACCACAGCTTTCATTTTTATTGCGGGACTGTAATAGAAGAACAAGTGAGTACTATTGCATTGAAGATTCCCGAGGGTTATACCCGCGACTATAAGTACTGGGGGTGGGGCAATTCAAGGTCCGACGGGGTAATTCAAGGTCCGACGGGGAGACGCTCGGGATCGCCACCTCGGGCCCAGTGTGTTTTTCGGGATGTTCACTAATCAATAAACTAAAGAAAAAACCATATTAAAAACTACTTAACTGCATCGAATGTCTATAGTTAACTGGAGAATTCGATAAAACAGCACTCTCTCTGACAATGTCCTTTCTCTTTGGCAAGAGTCACACCTTCGATCCTGTAAAAGACATTCCCAACCTATCTGGGAAGATCATCCTGGTGACTGGAGGCAACAATGGCCTAGGGAAAGAAAGCATAAAACAATTGGCAAAGCACAACCCAACGAGGATCTATATGGGTGCTCGCAGCATCAAGAGAGCTCAAGAAGCGATCCAGGATATCGAAAAGGAGGTTCCCAACGCACCTATAACTTTTCTCGAAATGGACCTCGCATCTTTCTCCTCCATTAAATCGGCAGCAGACGCTTTCCTGACTGAAAATGACCGTCTCGATGTCCTCATCAACAATGCTGGTGTCTTTGCCTGTCCACCAGGTTTGACCACGGAAGGTTATGAGATTCAATTCGGCACCAATTACATAGGCTCAGCACTTCTTACTCGACTACTTTTACCGATACTCGATAAAACCGCCGGTAAAGAAAACTCCGGAAATGACGTTCGGATCGTTAACGTGAGTTCTGAGATATATCGAGCGACTCCAAAGGGCGGCCTTCCTCTCAGCCAAATGAACACACCACTTACCGAAATCAACACCATAACCCGTTATGGCCAGTCAAAACTCGCCAATTTATACTTCGCGAAATCCCACGCTAAGAGGTATCCCCACATCAAGTCTGTAGCCCTACACCCGGGACTTGTGCAGACAAACATCGGTAGCAACATGACAGCAAACCCTATTTTATCATTCATCTTCAGCCAGATCACTAGAGTGACATCAATTGATGTTCCCGCAGGCGCGCTGAACCAACTTTGGGCGAGTACCGCCAATTCCGATGAAGTCAAAAATGGCGCATACTATATTCCGTTCATGAAGGAGGCGGACAGGGCGGACATCATGAATGATGGGGATAAGGCAGAGGAATTGTGGCAATGGACAGAGCGTGAATTTGAGAAACATGGCTTCTAATTTCCACATTGGCACATGAAAGATAAAGCAGCTTGTTAATTCACATTCTTTTTTTTTTAAAAAAAAAAAAAACTGTTGAGAACGCCTAACGTATTTCACAAGCGGCCCGGCCATCCGATGCAAAACACGTCAATTAATTAGGCCTTCCTTCTTCAACCACCCACTATGCCACCAATTTGCTCTCAACGTTCTCAAAAAGTAATAGAGCAAGAGGGTAGGATCTTACTAGCTATTCAGGCTATTAAGAAACAAGAAATCCCTTCAATTTGTGAAGCAGCACGCTCTTTTAATGTATCTCATGCAACTCTCCAAGAATAAGATTGATTACATGGCCACCAAAACCAAGGTGAAGTGTGTGCCAACAACTGTCACGGCGCTGGCCACCTGTATACAGTCTGAGACATATTGCCATTCCGCACCGCCAAAACATTTCCTGCCCATGAATCCCCCCAAAACCAACTGGGCCTCGAACTCCAAAGCCACATTGCAGCAGTGGCATCGCGAACAGCACGGATAAAGTCTACAGGAGATGAAGTCCTAGGGCTGGCCTCTACAGTTAGCCGGAAAGTGGGGATTTGGGAAGAGAGAGGTCTGCAAGGAGCTGCCTCCTTGGGGAAGGACATCAGGGCCCTGGTCCTCAATTTTAGCAGGAACCTAGCAACTGGACACCCTGCTAAAGAGGAAGAGAGCCACCAACCCCCACCCTCTAAGCACAACAGCTATGCTGAAGCGACAAGAACCTCGCCCAATGCCCCCAAGGCACACCCAAACCCATCCAAGTCCACTTACAAGCCACCACAACTGTGACGGCTCAACGACCAGACAAACATTGCCAACATGCCAAAAGATGCCATACAAGCAATATGGACAAACAAGGGCTCAAGCCGCATCGCACAAAGGCTTATATAGAGACTGCACTCGCCAGATAGATTTCCTCTCCTTTTTCCTTCCCAGATTCGATATTCTCGTTGATGGCTACAATAGTCAAGATAGGAATTCAGTTCGTTATTATCTTCTATTCCGAGCCCGTGACAACAACCTGAGATGCCCCCTGCATTTTTCTCCGTCTACCTACAGATCACCCAGCCCGCCGGGCTAGCCCATACGCCACTATGGATTTACTGAGGAAACATTTGGAAAGGACCCGTTTCGCAGCTGTGAAAGAGGTCCAACAGGTGCCCTCTGGCTTGGCAATATGGCCCAAGGACGGCCTGGGTCTCCACCTCCTCATGGAGTACAGGGAGACCCTGGAGAGCCTCATTCAGGGAGCCAAGGTCAAAGCTGAACAAGAATGGGCTATTTTTGTCCTTCCAAATGCACCGCTAGAATACACTGGATATGATGGGGCCCAGGTGCCTGTTAGTGACCATACAGCTTTAGATGAATTCAAGTTGCAGACAGGCCTCTCTTCTCTGAAATTCTATCAGTCAAGCAAGAACCCACACTCCAACACTCTCATCATGGCCACTCCTGAAGACCAGGCCTGCACAGTGCCTCAATGGACCCACCCCTTTGGCAGAAATGTCCAGATTAAGTGAAAACTCCCCCAAGCTCGCATTGAATGTAACGGCATGAACCACCTAACTATATAAGTGAGCGCAGTACTAAGCCGACAGGCTTAGTATCCTAGTCTTTTGCTCCTGACGCAGCGGTTATCTCTCTGGAATGCGCCCGAGATGAGTGGCCGTGACATTGAACAATGTACACAGTGCTGGGACTACCACAACCCCCGGACCTGCACCCGCACACTCAGATGCCACATTTGCAGCAAAAGAGACCACATTTAAGAGATCCATTCCTCTCCCAATGATGAGGAAACTTTGGAACCATGCTGTACCAATTGTTGTGGCCCCTTCCCAGCAGACCACCCCAAATGTCCCACCCGACCCACCATACAACAGGGAGTTATCCAGCGGCTATCCAAATCACAATTCATTGCAGTCAGGAAAGCAGGTGCATGCCAACATATGCTAAAAGACCAGACTGATTCCAGGCACCCAGCCAGGGTCACTGTGACGGCCCAACGCTGCACTGACGCCGATATAGACAAACGACATCAACATGCCAAACAACGCCAACCGTGCAATGAAGACAAACGGAACATTAGTGAGATCACACAAACGCCTATAAGACCCCTTCGTCTTCTAGATAGATTTCCTCTTTCTTCTTCTCCCCAGATTCGATATTCTCGTCGATGGCTACACTAGTTTAGATAGGAATATCAATTCGTTAATATCTACTGGTCCGAGCCCGTGACAGTCACTGGAATAATGCTTCCTCAACTACATCAGTAGGATCTCTGGCGGGCCTGGATGTGGTCGATGAAGATTTGAATTGGAACGAGGAAAGCAGAGTATGAGACTAGATTATGAGGGTGGCAGGTGTACGCAGAGATGGGGAGATAAAGAGTTCATGATGTGTTATGACTTATGTTTACATCAGTAGCTAATATTCCCATTGATATAACACTTCCACAGATGTCTGATTGGAATGATGAGAGGTGCTGGTACAGTTCATGCCAGGTTGAGCCTGTTTTCAATGAGCTTAGGGTTTATAATTCGTAAATTCGTAAATTCATTAGCCATGATTTAGGATAACTGACCCCTCAGCTACGCGCGACCCCACCAGCCCAGCAAGCAGTTAGATAAAATTCCATATTCTCAATTAAACACATCTTTCTTTCAACCACCACCATGTCTAATAACTATTATAAATATAAGGCCAAGGTGCAGAAGGCTCTTAATGCACTCCAATATGAAGAAAAGCACAATTTCTCAAAAAACTGCACATGAGTTTGGTGTGTCTAAGGCAAACCATCTCATCAAGATGGAAAGGCTGCCCAGACTACTCAGCCATGGATGAATACAAGGCTTAATGAAGCCCAATAGCATGCTCTGTACTGATATCCGTATATCCGTCGGGAATTAAAACAACTCCGACAGTATCTGCTTTCTCCGACGGAATGTCTGAATAATACCGTAATACGAGGGTAAGGGCAGTATTTGCCTCTCCCACTGTAGAGCTTATAAGGTCCTGTGGCAACCATCGAAATAGATATAGATATAAAAATACTATATTCTATAATATATTTTCGCCATTGTTATATTTACATCACAGCATCAATCACCATATTCATCCACCATCATGACTGTCTCAGACGAAGATGACCCCGAAGCCCTCACCCAGCAAGACACCTCCCAATCCTCCATCGCACCCCCGAACACGATCTGGAAAGAAATTCCCTTTGTGACCGTCGTCTGCATGGCCCAATTCATGACTCAAGCCGGTCTTGCCTTGTCCATCCCCCCAGTATACCTCATCGGCTCCAGTTTCGGTACTTCCATCGCAGGCGAGCTCAGTTGGTTTACTGCTGCTTACAGCTTGACTGTGGGCACATTCATCCTTTTTTCTGGCCGGCTAGGTGATGTATATGGTCATCGGCTCATGTTCATTGCTGGATTCGCCTGGTTCGGTTTGTGGTCGCTTCTGGCTGGCTTCAGCATCTGGTCAGGTCAGATATTTTTTGACTGCTGTCGTGCCTTTCAAGGAATAGGTCCTGCCATGGCTTTGCCCAATGCCCTTGCTATCCTGGGCCGGACATATCCCCCCGGGACGCGGAAGGAGATGATCTTCTGTCTGTTCGGGGCCACCGCGCCCAGTGGGTTTGTTGTCGGTGGTGTCTTTGCTTCCCTTCTCGCCCAGAATGTATGGTGGCCCTGGGCGTACTGGATCATGGGTATTGTGTGCTTTATAGTGGCATTTTTGGGTGTTCTGGTGATCCCTCGCACTCCTCAGTCCAAATTCATGGATAACCACTCATTCTGGGTCCAACTCGACCTTCTTGGAGCGACCACAGGTATTTCTGCTCTGATCCTGCTCAACTTTGCATGGAATCAAGCAGCTCTAGTTGACTGGATGAATCCATACACTTACATCCTGCTCATTATCAGCTTTGTCCTGCTCGCTGTCTTTGGTCTGATTGAATGCACTGCTATCTGTCCGTTGCTTCCCCGCTCCATCTTCACTGGTGATCTGGCATGGGTACTTGGTTGCATTGCTGCTGGATGGTCTAGCTTCGGTATTATAATTTACTATTTCTTTCAGTTCTTAGAGGTTATCAAGGGTGATACGCCTCTGCTCACCATAACTAAATACGTGGCCGCGGCTCCGTCCGGTGCTGTTGCGGCTTTAGTGACTAGCTTCTTGCTTGGTCGTGTTTCCCCAAGTGTCATTATGTTCTGTGCTATGGCCTTCTTCACAGCTGGATTGTCCATATTCGCCACAGTCCCTGTTGATCAGACTTACTGGGCGCAGACGTTTGTTGTCAGTTTGATTTTGTCTTGGGGGATGTAAGTTTCTTTGAACCAAACCATCCATTGATTTGACTAACAAGGTGATAGGGACATGTCCTTCCCATCTGGCACTCTCATCCTCAGCAATGCCATGTCCCGTCAACACCAAGGTCTCGCCGGTTCCCTCGTCAGCACCACCGTCAACTACTCCATCTCCCTTGGTCTAGGCTTCGCCGGTACCGTCGATTTACACGTTAATGATGGCGGCCGTGATGTCCTCAGGGGTTATCGCGGTTCATTGTATATGGGAATTGGTTTGGCGGGATTGGGTCTGGTTGTATCGATTTGCTTCATGTTGGTGACTTGGAGGCGTTATCAAAGGGACTTAAAAAGCAATGTTAATAGATAAACAGGAGAAAGCCTGTATAATACATATAATACATGAGCAAAGAGGAAAATCCTGCACATGTCCTTTAGCTGGTCAAGTACACGTCCCAGGCTCCGTCCAGTAGCGCTTGCGTTCTCAGCAAAATTTGCTATAAGAGACATTAGGAATCAGTATCTGCAAGACTGGAAGGATAGATGATTGGTCTTTACCATTAGGAGTTCCATGAAGAACTATCCCATACATCTTTCTACTCAAGAATAAAGTTGCAAACAGTCAACGGCAAGTAGTATGTCAAACGGTCAACGGCGAGCAGCGCCGTGACAATAACCAGCGAGAGTAACTATTTCGGCCTTTTCGAGGGTTCCGGGAGTATGAATTAGCTCCATATGATGACAGGTTTCATAGTGATGCCCTCGAGCATGTCCTCGACGGCCTTGTTAATTTCCGACGGTCTGTGTTGCTTTTGCAATCGGTCGATGGGAAGTTGATTTTTCATATAAAGATCGGCCAAGAGGGGCAGAAACTAACAAATCAACTGTGCTTAGCGAAAACCATGTGCATTGGACTGGAAGGGGGGATGCTCACCTTCCTCGACAAACTATTGCCTTGATTCGAAGCTTGATACTTCTTGCAACCATTGATGAATGGGAAAACCTGAATGGACATCTCGGCAGCTGCTGCTGTTGCTCCTACCGACACTGCAGTACCACCTGCGCCCAGGGCACCGACCATGGCATTGATGACAGACACAGCCCCTGTACAATCGACTGCAGCGTCAATGCTTCCTCCAGCTGTGATATGGTGTATTCCTGCTACAACGTCGTCGATATTGGAAGAGTGTATGACGTTGGTTGCGCCTAGTCCCTTTGCCTGTGCCAGTCTATCCTGTTGCATGTCGACCGCAATGATCATGGTGAGAAGCTCGGGGTTGTCAATGTGCAGGGCATGAGCTGCCATAATCGCAGCACTTCCTACTCCTCCAATGCCAAAAACGACCAGTGATCGTATGTCGTTCTCAATTGGCTTCACCACATTGAAAATAGAGCCGGCGCCGGTCTGGACACCGCATCCGAGTGGCGCCAGAATTTCAAGAGGGTATTTCTTGTCGATTCGCACACAGCATTCCTCGTGGACAATGGCAGGATTGGAGAAAGAGGATTGCCCGAAGAAAGATGCATGGATGGGAGTACCGTTCCACATCACTGATTGTGATCGGCCAGGATCTCTCGAGACAAAGTTCCGCTCGAACATTTGAGTACATTGATACGGGCGCTCTCTCCTGCAACTGCGACACTCTCTGCAATAGGAGTACGAGAGAAGAACATGGTCTCCCACTTCAACATCTCGAACGTCGGGTCCTACTGCACGTACGACACCTGCGCCTATAAGTGTTGTCAGCTCAACAGCATCATCCATTGTTGGGTGCAACTTCTATTCTGTACCTTCGTGCCCAAGCACAACCGGGAACACGCCTGGGAGCTTTCCATGCTGCACAGCAACATCAGTGTGGCAGACACCGGTGGCTTTGAGCTCTACGAGAACTTCAACTGCGCGCAAGGGCTCAAGTTCAACAGTGTCAGCAGTGAAAGGACAAGCTGTATGTTCGACAATGAGCGCAGTAGCTGACACCATGACGGCTGCTGGCGGACTTAGAATGCAGTGTAGCTATGTTCGCTCGATTTTGTGCGTCCTCCATATTCATATAATCCGTTGTTTTGTGCCGGGATACCATGAGCTTCTATTGGGAAAACCCCCTGTTCAGTCTCGAAGACATCGTTAACGATTGGCTCGCGGAGATTCCGACCGTCGTAGACTGTCCGCTGGAGATGACATTGTGGACCCAATTGCAGTGCTCCAATCACTGTGCTTCTTTCCAACAGGCTCAATTGCTTGGATCCTACTTCAAGTATTCTTAAAAATTATAGCGTACAGCGATTAGACGGAGAAACACACATCCACATGGACGACGTCCGGAAACTCCGCGGAAGTTTCAATTCCAATAAACAGTAAAGCTGACTACATATTCAGTATCGCGAGCTGTACATTTCAGGATACAGAGGTTCATCCACTACTTACTACTGTTACTCCTGTACGCATAGATCGTGGAGATGGATATCGTTATAGTTGGGGCCGGACTTGGTGGGCTTGGCACTGCCCTAACCCTCAAAACCGCCGCGCCTTCGCACAATGTCCTTGTACTCGAGTCCGCTCCAGAGTTGGCAGAAGTAAGTAGACTGCATGGTCAATCAACCAGATCCCATCACAAGAGACTAACACGACGAATCACTTAATCAGATAGGAGCAGGCCTTCAACTCACCCCGAACACGACCAGACTGCTGCTCTGCTGGGGCCTGGGAGACAGGCTTGAAAAGGTCGCAACAAATCCGGAGGTTTTCACCATTCTACCCTACAAGGGAGACAAATTACTTGGTAGACGCAATGGCTTTGGGAAAGAGATGATTTGCAAGTATGGAGCGCCATTCTGGGACATGCACCGTGCGGACCTGCAGCTGGCCATATTTGAACGTGCCCAAGAGCTTGGTGTCAGGTTCAGGTTTGGCGCAACAGTTACCAGTTATGATTTTGAGGGCTCAAAAGTATCACTCGCCAATGGCAACGAAGTTCCGGGTGATTTGATTATCGCTGCTGATGGTGAGTTTAGTCCTACGGAAAATGCGACACCGGGTGGAATATGTGGTCAGGTTGCTAATGAATCATAGACCTATGGTCGAGAGCTCACCCCCAATTCCTCAGGAACAATGAGTTCGCCGCTGCCCACAGGTGATTTAGCTTATCGCATTGTATTGAATACCGACATGATCGAGGACGAAAATCTGAGAGAGTTCGTCTCGAAACCTCGAGTGCACCTTTGGGTCGGGCCTGACTGTCATGCCATTTACTACCCACTGCGCAACAACACGATGATCAATATCATGCTTCTCATTCCCGACGATCTTCCTGAGAATGTAGCCAGAGCCCCTGGCGATATTGGTCAGATGAGGGAACTTTTTCGTGACTGGGATCCACTGTGAGTCCCTTGCCGGAACAGCAATTAATAACTCAGCCACTGATGGTCTTCCCTGGCAGTCTACAGCGCCTCTTAGCACTTGTTCCTGAAGTTCAAAAGTGGCGCTTGATGAACAGTGAGCCTTGCTTCGTTTTGGGATCCGAACAACCTGGACTATTAGGCTGACTGGAAATTGCAGACACGGAAATGGATTCGTGGTGCGATGAGAAAGGAACGATTGTATTTTTGGGCGACGCTTGGTTGGTCTTGTACTGTCTTGTCCCTGTGTCTGAGATAGACTCTGACCGAGCCACAGTCATCCAATGTTGCCTTATATCGCGCAAGGAGCCAATTCAGCCCTGGAGGATGCAGCAGTTCTCGGCACCCTCATTGCCAAAGCACATGACAAATCGGATTTCCCAGCCCTCCTCCAAATATACCAGCATCTGCGGAAGCCACGCTCCTTGGCAATGGTGAAAGGGGGCCTCAGACAGGTAATTGCATACTGGCGCCAACGCAGCAGGGCCGCTAATTAGAATCTACAGAGACATACCAACCATCTTCGAGACGGCCTAGAACAGCAGCAGCGCGACAAAAATACTGGAAGAACAACTTGAAGAACCTCTGCCAGGTTATCCCTTTTATTGGTAAAACAACACTACTATCCCTTATAATCGAGCTGTGTTAACTTTCTCAGGCTGGATCCGCAGGCCCAGGGTTGGGTTTATTCATACGATGCCGTTGAGGAGGTGAGTCTCATCCACTACACAAGAATACAAATCGCAAACTGACGCTGTGTGCGACAAGGCCGAGATGGCTTGGAAATTTTTCCTCCAGAACGATAAATCTATCTCGTAGTTAGCCCTTACCCGCTGCCGCCCCCCACCCAGGCGGATGCTCTGGCTGGTTCTGAACGCACAAGGCGCCTGTAAACCCTCGGCAAGACCTCGAGGGCAACTTCGAATTCATGGTGGTTACGGCTGACTATGACGGCCACCCCGCAAGCATTCAACATCTCACTAAGTGCTTTGACCGCGAGATACTCTACTTACCTTTTTTAGTTAGGATATACTCATATATTTTAAATTTAAGTAGTTCGATCTTTATCCAGGTCCTCCGCATTCAAGATATCCAACCAACTTTCGAATGAGCGTGAATGCATTTCTGAGTCCGCGAAATAGGCCCATAGATCGTCATTGATGGGGAGGTCCAAATCATGACTCTCTGGCATAGGCTCCAGATGCGTTGCTCCTGCAGGTGCATCGAAAGTTGACCACAAATCTTCTGAATTGGCCTCCCCAACATCTTGTTGCCTTCTCCAACGTTCAATTATTTGGGTCACTATCTCGGCACACCGCTTAGCAGCTTTGAGATTAATTTGCCTAAAGACGCTAATGCTCAGCTGGCAGGCTGCGACTATTCCCTTGGTTTCCTCGGCCGCAGGCTCGTCGATGACTTTCATTAAAAGTACCAAGGTGGCCTGTAGGCAATAATAGCAGTAATATCTCCAGCGCATCAGGCAAGGCGCGGCCTCAAACAAGCCATGCACATGCAGAATGATAGCACGCGCAGCTTGTATACAAGTGTACTGAGAGTTCTTGACCAGGTGACTAGCCGCCAAGAGGTCAGCTTTTGTGAAAGAAACCCGATGTAGGACGATAAGAGCGAGATTGTAGTCTGATGTATCATTAGATATCTTTCGAAACACCGGCACGCCCCTGCTGTAGACATTGTCACTCACGGACAAGAAGACTGCTCCGCTGGCGTGAGATCCAGCTGTTGGCAGTATCTGACTCTCGACGAAGATCTTCATCTTCGAAGATGAGCAGGGCTGGGAGCGATTGCCGCCACTGGTTCAACCGATCATCGAATGACGGAATCTGGGCAGCGGACGACCTCTTTCTGCCAATAGCGCTGCCACATCTCGCAACCTACGATATAATGGGAGTGGTCAATACTTCATTGCATCATCGATCACAGCCATTGATTACTCACAAACTTCAAAATAGCACAGGTTATCTGAGCGACTCCCGCAAGAGCTTTTATGAACTCAGCCGTCGGTCGGTGTGGCTGATCTGAGCCTGACTAACACCAGGCCGTTAGTTTGTTTGCCACGGAAGAGGAAGGTGGGGAGAATTACAGTCGTGCCAACTGCGCCGTACTCCTTCGGAAGGTCGACTATAATGTCACTTTTGCTGATGGACATTGGCCGGCCGGAGTCCACGCTCAATTCGACCTCCTGGATATATATCATCCACCACGTGCGCCGCCCTTCCTCAGCGTCCCAGTCGTGTGATGTGAGGTTGGAGTCAACATTTAGGCCGATGGAAAATGCCATTCTAGTCGCGGTCCCCGCCAGGGTATAGGCCACTGTAAAATGTCAGTTACATGTCCAATCACAGTACCTGCGCATTTTACGGACAACTTGGTTTGAGAGCATGCTGTGCATAAGCTCCCTAGCTCAAAGTTAATTCAGGTCTAATGACTGTAAAAAGACCTTACCATGAACATTCCTGCTTGCACCAATTCTAAACTGACCGCATCAAACAAGCGTCCGAGCAACTCTTGCGCCTCAGAGAAATACCAAGAAGCCCAGGATGAGCTGTCATCATCGTCGGCATATAATGCACCTAGAGCAAGAACTGCGTATAGCAGGCACAACGATTGTTGCTGGACCTGGTTCTCTCGCGGCGAAGTGAATAATAGATTTGAGCCGAAGAGGTCTCTTAGGCGAGAGTACTTGGCTCGAAATCTTGGAATATCAAATATCGGGAAGTAGATATGGATGGTGGCGAAGAAGTTTTCCAAATGCCGATCTGCAACATCCTTCTGGAGCGTCTGATATCGCCGGATGGCTGTGTTGTGAGGCATGACGAGGTCGTACGAGTCCAGCATGGTGTGCAAGCCAAGTTTATCGGTTTCGGCGCTCCAGTTTCCCACTCGCGCTTGCGCATCGTCCTGATCGCGAGACGATGGATAAATGTGGTCCGCACAATGTTGCAGTCTCCTCGCTAGGGACTTGGCTATAAAAAAGTTGGAGGTTTCACCTACGGGCCTCGTTAGTACATCGTTCGATCGGACGGGAATCAGCACGAGCAGATACCATAGTACTCAAAACAGCCCGTTTGTGGATTCACCTCTGTGACAGAGGAGATTTTAGGCCCGTCTTTGATAAGTGCATCATCATGTCCTATAGTGAAATCAGTGGCGTTGAATTTTCATGTTGTAGCTGTGTCTCCTACCCTCATTTATTCCAAAACCTTCAGGTTTCCTTTGCATGATCTCTTCGACCCGACCTAGCCGCGTGAGTATTTGATCCATGACACTGGCAAATGATTAGTCATGAATGGAAACATAACACAAGACACGAGCTCACTTGGTCAGTTGAATATGGTCATCCTGTGTTGTGGATTTCAGACTACACTCGTAGCCTTTCCTGCAGCAACTTTCACAGGGCCACTTTCCGTTACACTACAAGCTGTTAATTCTCATCCAGAGCGTGGATGATATTTGCTTGGTTAGATGGATAACGGACCTTGATACGTTTCTCTCGGCATTTTTGACAAGCCTCCACGGTTTTCTTCCGAACCGACTTTGACAACCCACTTCCCGGGCGACTGGGGAGCGCTGGCAGCTGGATTTTTCGGCGTTTTGAGACTGGCTCATTACTGTTGCTGTCGTTAAGACCTGTCATGTTTCGGTCGTGGGCTTTGCAGGATTCTCATGGAAAAGCGTTGGATTTCCGGGTCAGAGAACTTGAAATTGGAGTTGTGAGGGTGTAATTCCTCAAATCGCACTTGTCCTCATTGCTAACCGAGGTCAACTGCATGCGGGGTCCCCATGGGCCGACGTCAAGACAGGCGCTGAAGCCAAACTAGATTGGGAATTCCCCAACTGGTGTCGGCGAGCTTCGATGGTGAACGCCGGGATCTCCGCAGTCCAATCGGAAATAGTCTTGCGGCAAACCATATATTGCGCTGGGCTTCACATCAGGAACAGAAGATGGATTCCCTTTTCTGCATCAGTACCAACAAAAATGTTTTTGCTGGTTCTTGTTGCTGCTGGATTTTTGGCTGTCCTGCTCTTTAACGCAGGAGCAGTTCGAAAACACCAGAAATTGCCGCCAGGCTGCAAGCCTATTCCAGGCCCGCCTGGTTTACCTCTCCTCGGTAACCTACACCAGCTCCCCAAGGACTATCCCTGGCGCAAATTCAAGGAATGGTCGGACGTATATGGGCCAATAATGGAAGTGAAGCTTGGCAGGGAAAGCCTGATTGTGTTGTCGGACAACGAGACGGCCAAGGAACTCTTGGAGCGACGCGGTCAAAAGTAAGTGAAAAATTGGCTGGTGACTGAGAATATATTTTCTAACAGCCGCAGTTATTCTTCACGGCCGCAGACATACATGGCGTGCGAGGTTCTATCCAGCAATCTTCGGCCCCTGCTGATGCTCTACGGAGGCAGGTTTCTCACCCGTCATCCTTGAGGCTCACTTTTGCTGACCCTAACTCCATTCAAAGACCGTTGGAGAAGAGTCCGGAAATTCATCCACCAAATGACAATGCCTGGAAAAGCATTGAGCTACCAACCACGTCAAGATCGCGAATCACGTAAACTGTTATACGATCTGTTGCAAGAGCCTCAAGACTTCGCACGTCATTACTATCGCTACGCGAGCGGACTTATCATGGGTCTCACATACGATATGCCGGTTGTGACGGGCAAGGAAGAATACGTTAAAAACATTGTTCAAGTCAATGACACCCTTGAACAGTAAGTCTACTCGCCAATTAAAGTCTGAGGATCACAGTATAAGTGCCCATTCTGACTGCTGACTTGTTGGGCAAACATAGTACTGCAAAGCCGGGAGCATTTCTTGTGGATTCTCTCCCTGTATTGAAATTCTTGCCTTCATTCATGGCACCATTCAAGCGCCTGGGCAAGGCTGCCCACGAATTCGAGTATGCCGTTTTCACGAAGCTCTTGCAAGACATTCAGAAGAAGCTGAGCCATGGCTCACCCATTGGTGACTGCTTTGCCAAAGAGTTACTCAACAAGGGGGAGAAAAAAGACCTGACTGATGACGAAGGTGCATATGCCTGCGGAACTATGTTCGAGGCTGGCAGCGGCACAACATCCGGCGCTCTGGAAATTCTAACAATGGCCCTCCTTCTATTCCCCGAAATTCAAGTTGAGGCACAGAATGAATTGGATGCTGTTTGTGGAGACCGTCTGCCGCAGTTTGAAGATCAACGGAATCTTCCGTACATCAAGGCTGTGGCGAAAGAGGCCCTCAGATGGCGCCCGATTGTAACGCAAGGCATATTGCACATGTCCGTAAAGGACAACCGCTACGGCGACTACTTCATCCCGGCTAACACTGCCATACTTGGAAACCACTGGTGAGCTTTTCTTGCAACTAAGTGAGGCCACTCCAGACAGGAAGCTGACATGAATATCACTTCTATGTAGGGCAATTCACATGGATCCTGAAATGTATCCTGAACTGGACAGATTCAATCCTAGACGCTTCACCGATCCGTCATTTCCAACTGCTCAAACAACAGACGGAGTGGAGTACGGCGCTAGTCGCGGACACTGGGCCTTTGGTTTCGGGCGCCGAGCTTGTCCAGGCCAGCATATAGGCGAATTCAGCCTGTTCATCCTAACAGCTCGGCTACTGTGGGCTTTCAATTTCAAGAAATACATGACTGCGGACGGGCATGTACAAGAGCCTGATCCTTTGGCATTTACAACTGGTAAGTACAAAAAGTCTCTGTTTTGTCCGCCATCTACTTCCCGTGGTTTTAGCATTTTCTTAACGGGACTAAATCATATGCGTGCTACCAGGTTTCAATTCCAAGCCAAAAGCCTTCCCGGCAACGATTGTGCCCAGGAGCGGGGCTCGCGCCGAGGCTGTCAGGGAAGCATATTTCAACCAGTGGGGAAAGCCAGATAGCAAAGGTGAACCAGCTAGTTGAGATTTAGATTAGGCCACACCCACCCTGCTCCGAAACACAAGGAGAACACTCTGCTCGAAAGCCCTGCGCATACAGGCGGTCTGGGGCGAGGAAAAGGATCAGAAAGATTATAGAAGGGGAGGCCCGATTGCCTCAGGAACTCATAGGGACAGGAGACTGTAGAATAGCTGCTGGCCTCGAGTCCATGAATCATGGTCTGTCATAGCTCTAGGGCTCGGTATGGACAATAAACTTGATTAAATAATAATAATACTCTATCCATGTTGGATAGGTCAAGCTCTTTCACTATTTCTCAGTAATTCTCATTTGGTTGAAGACGTAAGGGATTGGATAGATACAGTTGACCCTCGCAGATTCGGTCAAAGAATAAAAAGAGAGAAGAGAGAAACGGTAAAACAGAGAGAAAGAGAAATAAAATGAAAAAGAAAATAGGTCCTTTTACTTTACGGTTCTAGAGAAGAGTGAAAAGAAAATTGCGTCTCTTGGCTTCTCATGCGTTGAACGGCTTTTCTTTGCTCCTCCCTTGTGCGCTTGGAAAGTTTTCTAGGGAACATTCCATCGTCCGACAACATGTAGTTAAATTCAACTGAGAACCTCAGTTCTGCACTGAAGGTTGTGGTCATCTAATCATTCATCCATCAATGGTTGTGTTACTTGACCCTCCTGAGACTAGATTAACCACTCTGTTGTCTCTTTTCTGCGTGGTGCGTTTGAACACCGGCCTGATCAAGGGAAGGGAGCCGAGGAGGGCCCACCTGTGACTCTGATGGACTAACCGCCGGATAAACCCCATTTGTATGGTCAGGCCTCATTTTAATGCTGGGTATATGGCGTGTGCTCGATGTTATTACTGTTTCTGGATCGATGGTTGAACTTGAATGGGGATTTCAAAGGTACTGTTGGTAGCGCTTATGCCACCATGTCTACTAGCACCATCGCGATGACCCTCATCTTTCAGGCGAGAGGATATGCTGGGAAGGCTTAAAAGCTAAGATAACTGCCATCATGGCAAACCCTAGAGAAACTGATACTGTCTTCCAGTCGACCACTCCACTTCCACGAGAACCATAGTACATCCCAACTTGACAAAACATCAAGTAACGTTGCCATAGATTCAAGCCATCCTGAGACATTGGGTCATTTGGCTCTGCCGGACCAAGCCGCGAGTTCGAATGCAAAAAATCTGAATCCAAAGACCACAGGCCAACGCCATGTTGCTCTCGACCTAAACCGCTCCTACGCTTCCGATTAGAAGGCCCTAAACACTTTGCGGGAATTGTATCAGAATTGGTAAACCTCAACATTGACGCTGTGTCCCCCTCTCCTCACCCATCTACCCCCAAATCCATCCTGGGAAACATCTACTGAGCTCGATCACAGGAAGGATGCCGTTCTCCAGACGCATCAGATCGACCTGTTCAATTTTTTGCCGTACATTTCCGCGAAGCCGGATGACATCACGATCATCGTCGAGGAGAAACGATCGCTGCCGGTAGACAGGGAAGGGACCGCTGGGCGAACGTTAGAGAGACCAGCGTTCAGTCTAATCACCAATGGGACTGGCTATTACTACCGAAGTTGTTACATACATATACTACCTCCATATACACTCTATCACGCTTCTACCATAGTTTACCCCCGCCGGGTGGACGACTAGTTTAACACTACCAAGAAGTTGAATGCACAGCAAGCCCAGGGCTGAGTTCCTGGAGACAGGGCGGCAAGGGAGCTAAACCCAAAAAAATCAAAGAGAAGATGTGAGCACCAACATACAACAGCCAGGATTAGCTGGTAATTAAGGTATCACCTTAATTACCTACACCCAACTAGTGCTCTAGAAATACAGCCTCACTCGCTACGCGAGCGAGGCAAAAAAAAAAAACATACAACAGCCGGGATTCGCTGGTGGTCACCCACCCAACTACTAACCGGCCGGCGTGTGGCTTAAGTACGGCTGAGCGGACGGGAAGCCCTGTTCTCCACACCCTATGGTCGTATGTACCGATTTTCTCTCGAGAATAGTATATATCGTATAACCGGAGCAGGAAATAATTCTCAGAACAATATATGCTTGAGCACTACCAGTTCAAAACAAGCTCATAGCTGTTTTGAAGCATGCCAATTCAGAAATCCCGGGCTTTCCTGTATTCCACAAAGGCAACTGGTCAGAGTCGAGCTTCTCCTCGAGGGATTCTCAAAAGAACCATATAGGGCGAAAGACAGCGACTAAGTCAACAACCAATCAAAATCATCAGGCAGCAACTGAGAGCATAAATCAGCCATATACAGTTGTTCAAGGTCCTCTGGATTTGCTATAGGTGCCTCTGCACCACCATGAACATGGTCTGAAGCAACCGGATGCTCAGCCTCGTCCTCTACAAGCGGATGAACAAAGTGTGTGGTGATGCATCCTGGCGTCAGATACAGTTTCTGGTCCGGCTCCGCCATCGCGGGAAAGTGTAGTTGTTGCCATATAACAAAGTGTAAGATCAAGGAGGTTCCAGAACATTGATGGCGGAAAGGCAATCGTTGTACCTTTGCCAGCATTTTGCTGAAATCTGTCTGTTGCGAGGGCCTGTAGATTTCGGAGAAGCTCGAGCTATTTAGGAGGGTTTATCAGCTCTGGGCTGCGAACCGAGTGCTGGAATATGTGCCTTTTGAGAAATGTGAGGCCATGTATCTGACATGCTGATCAAGAAGAATCTTTCGCATCGTTCCAGATCCTCTTTCGCTTATCTGGCAGCTTCGTCGCCTCTTGAGAACTGGAAAAGCCATGATATTGTCGCCGTGGCTGCCACCAAATGCTTGACTAAGGGGCTGTACACTTCAAAACCAAGAACCTCGCACGTTTGTATGAGCCAAAATACCCAGCCGGAATGGAACAATGTCTGGTCCACAGTCTGTTGGAGGAACAACCGTGACTGGGACGAGCCACGATTGTCCCGCAGGGCAACAAGATGGATAAATGGATGATTTAGAATAGTACTTGATGCGTGGGGAATAAGCTGCATCGATATCCATGGGTTCCAGTACTCCCGTTGACTGGAGAGGTCGGTATGCGACCGTTTCGAGAATAGGGCATTCCGAAGCAGGTGCTTGTCTGACAATTGGGACTTACACTCATGCAGTTTGGCGTGTATTTGGGCGTGAGTCTGGAAGCCAGAGAGTCTCAACTTTTCTCATTCGTATCTCGTGTAGGTAACAGGAGAGTCTCTGCCAGACGGAAAGAAAGTTGATGTAGTAGACGTTGATTCCAAAGTATTTCTTATCGGTAGTAAATCAGACCCCGAGGAATGCATTTTGACGCTTGCACATCCTTGCATAATACTAGCCGGCAGGTACTACCTGGCGGTGCTCAGTAAAAGTAATGTACAACTGAGATTCTCAAAGCTTGCTCTTTTCAGGGGTTGCAGCTCCCGTCGCGCAGGCCCTCCGCGGCTCCCATCTCCCACAAAAAGTATCTGTCTTATCTACAGTCCTTCCGGAACCGCCACTTCTTCGCAAGATGGCACGGCAGCGTCTTCTTGATGGCCTGGGACATGTACTCGCCGAGGACGGGTAGAAACTTGAATGCGCTGCATCACTCTCGTCAGTATCGCTCTTTTGCATGATCGGGGGTCTCCATACTGTCCGCTACCCGCTCCACCAACAAACAGACTCCGGTAGTCCGGATGGTAGTCCATGATGAAGTCACCCGATGGCGTATCGGTGTACCAGCACAGGGCCAACCGTTCGAATGGCCGGTCTCCAAGTTCAGGAAACATCTCGACCAGACCTTGTCGCAGCCGTTGTTCTCCATCGGGAGGGGCGAAGTTTGCACGCTCGCGTGGAGGAATCCGAGGAGGCGAAGGAATATATGACCTGTCGCCGGCACTCTCCTCTCGACTGGGAGTACGTGTATATCCCCATCCGTGAACGGCCATCTTCAACATTTTGGTATCTTCATGCGGCGGGAAGTTGAATTATCCCGTTGAGAAATTGGAGTGGATGGGCAGGTCCTTGTATTTATGCATCTCGCATTCAGTAAGCAGAATGTATCCTACGACTTGAGCTGTCACGAGTGTGGAATTATACATGGGGACAAGACCTGTCATCCAAGCACCAGCCGTGACGATGAAATGATCACCTTGGATCATGGATCCACTGAGGGTCTTGACCCCTCTGATCGTGCAGTCTGGGTCAGTCTCAAACCCCGAGACGGTGCCGGCGCGGCCGCAGACGAAGGAAATGTCCCAGCTCAAGACAGTCATCTCGGAGCTGGCTGACAGTCTTGCTGGCATCTGCCCAACCGGCATCTTCATTGCAGTAGCCTGAGAACTTTGGAGTCGCGAGCTTCCCGCTTAGCACCGGGTATTTCCGTTTTGCAGCTGCAGCGTCTTCAAGTTTGGTCCATGGCAATTCCCGATTGGTCGGGGCTTTTGTCGTCTTTGCGATCCAGGACTCGCCATAGGGGTTGCCAGCACCCGTGAGGATGTACGGCGCAGGATAGAAAATGCCCTTGTATTTAGGCTATTTGCGCCATTCCATGTAAGCTTTGTGCGCAATTTGGAGATAGTCGTCGTCGGCGTAGTCGGAGCGTATCACTCGGGAAATGTCAGAACTCGATCCGTCGGGCACCTGGACGCTGTTAACTTTGTTTTCCTTATTTATAGACTCGAGCATGGTGGACCAAAATTGATATTACTGCTGGGCCTACAAGAGCTTGGATATGTTGACACCATCGTTTTCACCGAGGATGAAGACTTATCAGGCCAAGCAGTCAGTGAGCTGCACGGCGCACACGTGAGCGGGATTTGAAAGCCAGATGGACTCCGAATCGAACCTCAATAAGGATATGCTTGTAAGTAGAAGACATGCATAAATCTGCTATGCAGCTCTGTGCTCTAACATGATCCCCCTCAGATAACTGGCTGTTGCATTTGTAACAGTGGCGTTAAGTAGTGCAGGTGGTTTTGCTTCGGTTTCTAGATCTTTATAACGGAGATGAAGCTGGTTTAGGTATTCAGATTCCGTAACAGGTATCTCGGAGTTGCTCGCAGAATAATGGCTACAATTAACTATACACTCTTACATGCTTGGGGCTAATTTACTGACCAATCACAACGCCCGCGCACGATCGCCGGCTAATCAGCAGCACCGCGGATCTTTTACGCTACGATTCTGCACAACGACTGGGACAAGGTCCCAAAAGAGAAACGACGACAGCAGTTCCCTCGCTACCAGCGACCATCCGCGGGATTGACGGGTGAGCGATTCTTTTATTGGGCTCTGCGGGCATTGCGTGTATGAAGCTCCGATGGCGTGACTCCTTGGCTAAGTATTTTAAGATTCGGACATCCTACTGATAATTGCGCAGGAACAATTTTGCAATTTTGGCTGTATCGCTTAACGAATTGCTGAAATGCCAGCTAAAAGCGTCGCGGTTATCGGCGCGGGGCCTGCAGGGGCCATCACCGTCGATGCTTTGGTGCAGGAAAAGACCTTTGATTCGGTCCGGGTATTCGAGCGCCAGGACCAGTCTGGTGGATGCTGGTATGTGCGGAGAAACGGGGCTCTCTTCAGGTGACAACCGACTTATGATTAACAGAGACAACCTATGTATGCAGGATCCATCGCCCAAATGAACCCCGACTCCCACTAGACATCGACAAACTCTCCGCCAGAACAGCCGATGCGCCCATTCCCATCCCCCCTCAACTGCCATGCCATGCCCCCGCCGTTTCCCAGAACCGTTTCGCCGATTCGCACATCTACCCCACGCTCGAGACCAATGTCGACGCTTCGGTTATGTCGTTTTCGCAGGAGACCATCCCCCCCGTCCGGTCTGAGCGGTCGATTGCCCTGCACGGTCCGGATACGCCGTTTCGACACCACACTGTTGTCAAGAAATATATCGACGATCTGTTCAATCGCAATGGGTACCAGGATCTGGTCGAGTACAATACCACGGTTGAGCAGGCGGTGAAGAGTCCGGATTCGGGGAAGTGGGAGCTCACGTTACGGCGGGGTGAGAAGGGGAATGTGGACTATTGGTGGACGGAGTCGTTTGATGGTCTTGTTATTGCGACGGGGCATTATTCCGTGCCGTATATTCCTGCTATTCCCGGGTTGAAGGAGTTTGTGGAACGATATCCGGGGGGTGTTGAACATACCAAGCAATATCGGGGTCCGGAGGGGTATCGCGGGAAGGTATGCTCTCTTCCCAGCCTGAAAGGAAGAATGACACTAATCCAGACTTGAACAGAAAGTGGTCACAGTGGGAGCATCCGTCTCCGCAGCAGACACAGCAGTTAGTCTGATCGACCACGCCCAAGCACCCATCTACACCGTCACCCGCGGGAAATACAACGTCTACTTCGGAGGACAAGCATTCAAACATCCCCAGCTTTCAGAACGGCCGCCCATTTCGCATATCTCCGTCGACGATCGGACCGTGCACTTCGAAGATGGCACTTCCGCAGCAGGTGTAGATCACATTATCTTCGGGACTGGGTTTAGCTGGACACTCCCGTTCCTTCCTGACATTCCAACGAGGAATAACCGCGTCCCGGATTTATACCAGCATGTCTTTCATCAACGGGATCCAAGCCTCATCTTCATTGGCGCTGTACGGCCCTCCCCCATCTTCCATCTCACCTGCAAAAGCTAACAAGTAACAACACAGGTCGGCACCGGCCTAACCTTCAAAATCTTCGAATGGCAAGCCGTCGCAGCAGCCCGTGTCCTCGCCGGTAAAGCCTCCCTCCCACCCCTCGAAGCCCAACAGCGCTGGGAAACAGACCGCATCTCTGTAAAAGGCGACGGGCCCGGTTTCACGTTAATACATCCGGATTTCAAGGAGTATTTCGAAGAAATGAGACGGTTAGCTGGGGAACCTGGGGAGGGGCAGCCGGGACGGAGATTGCCGGTTTTTGAGCAGAAGTGGGTGGATGATTTCTGGGCTGGGCATGAGAAGAGAGTTGCTATGTGGGAGAGGTTGAATGGGGAGGGAAGGGGGTATCGGTTGTAGCATCTGAGCGTTTGATTTGGCTGTTTATAGATGACGACTGGCGAGGTTAGACTTGCTGATGAACATATGTGTGGCAGATGCACATATAAAAATACCAATTGAACAAGCTTATCATATGACAAATTGGTATACTATTACACTCCCCAGATTTACAATTGTCTCCTATCCATGATGGCTTTCATTAGTTGAACTGAACGATGCTATCCGAAAGCTTTCAGGGATGACATGGAAAGGCCGCCCTCGAAAAACCCGCTAACTTCAAAGCTCAGGTTTAGATATCCCTCATACATCACAGATTCACTTGTTGCTTATTGTTTAAAAAAGAAAATAGCTAAACGGAGACTGAAACCCCAATAGCCTCAGGCTTATCAACAGCGCCATTTTGAACCACCGCGTCACCCACTCATGTCCAATGATGTAGATTGTTGTGCCTTGCGAGCTTCAATAGAGGCCCTATGACCCTTTTCGATGCCTCACTGCTTCATGGAACGCATCCTGGCTGCAGCTGGTCATCAAATTACTCGATGGTCCAAATCCCTCAGATGCAACCCTTTCGCACAAGATACATATGCATACCCCTCAGACATGGCTCACTAGTACTTTTGACATGCCACTCATGCTTTAAATTCCATTACCCCCCCCCCCCAATGTCATAGAAATCATTTCGGTATCCCCTTACCAACAACCATCCACCATCGCGTCTTCGCCTTCGCCCACAAGTATTGCCCATCATGAATATCGAGAATATCTGCTTTATCTGTGCAGACATGGCATTGAAAAGACCCGCAAAGCATTATCATCGACTCCGTGACCCAAAGTCCAAGAAGACAGAAGAGTGCGTTCTTTGTGCTAGGCACTTTTGCGAGGCACACAAGTCAAATGATGAACTTGATGAACATGTTTGCGAAGTCAACCACCGAACTTATTACAATAATCATCGGAGTATTTTTGGAATATACCCTACTCTTCAGGCGCGAGAGAGGCAGTCTGGAGTGGTGGGACTATGAGTGACAAGGGGTGGTAGGTTTTCGCTGAAAGCACTTTGAAAGGAATTGTACTTATGTAAATGAAGGTTATGTGCCAATTCTTTACTCGGTGTTTGGGGTATATAGATGTTATTCTGGAAGAGGTGTATCCAAACGGTGGGAATTAATCGGTCAAGGATTGAGGAAGTTGGCGTAAAACCACGCTGAGGCGTTGAGATGTCAAGTGTGTTCACAATACAGATTTATACGACAGTCTACATTCCTGGTACTTCTAGTATAATACAATGTAATTCCCAGCGGCAGGTGATAGTCCGGAACATGACCAGTGTGGACTAGTGTGTTTTGATAAGTGAGATTCGAGAAACGATCAAGGAGTGTAGGTGGTGACGCCGGCTGCTAGAAGAAGGTCTATATCTTCAAACAACTCTATTCATCCTTCTATCACTAGTACAGTGTTCCATTACATTGCGACAAATCTAGAGACTCATCAAGGTCTATGGTGGTACTATATCATTTACCAACATACTATCACAACCAGCCATTAGCCCTACTCCAATCCCCTCACCGTCGTCTGCGTCTTCCCCTTCCCCTTCCCATCCTCCACAGCACCAACTCCTCCCCCAGACACACCATCCCCCTCCCCACCATCAACCCCAACCCCATTAACCACCCTAAACGCCACCCTCCTTCCCTCCAAATACCTCCCATCAACCCACCTCAACACCCCCGTCATAACACCCACAACCCCTACCAACCCCGCCGCACTTTCCCAACCAACCCTATAAACCGGCGCCTGCGCAGCCGGCCACACAAGAACCTGCGACCACGCCGAAATCGCATAATACCCCGCCACACTCACGCCCACAATCAACGCCCGGCTCTCCGGGTCCTGGGGGATGAGATCGGATAGCCAGGCGAAGATTAGCGGTGCTGTGCCTAGTGGCACGTACGAGAGGAAGTAGGAGGTGTAGGCTGCTGATAGAGGGAGGGTGGATGGGTGGGTGGTCCAGAGGGACATGATTATGCAGGGGATGAGGGCGATGACACACTGTGTGATGATAAGTGTCCAGCGGGTGCGGAGGAGGTCAGATAGTAGGGCCCAGAACCACACGAAGACGACGTTTATGGCGGAGCCGGCGATGGGAATCGCGTTGACTTGTGCTGTGCTCCAGCGGCGGGAGCCGTCTGGTTTGCGCACCCATTCGAGGAACAGCGAGAAGTAGTTGTATCCGTATGTTCCTAGGACAGATGCACAGTACAGCACCGTGATGAAGTATACAACCCACCCCGAAAACGTCCGCTTAACAGCATCCCAAGACATGCGCTTCGGTTCTGCGCGGCCGTTCCGGGATAGTCTATGCATGGAGAGTTCCGCGTCGATGGTCTTGTCGAACCAGATTGCTCGCGGGTTCGGTTTATTAGGGAGATCAGGGATCATGATAAATCCCGCGAAACCCCATACAACAGTGATGATCGCATTGATAACAAACAACCACCGCCAGCCAGACAGACCCGCATGATTATCCAGTGTCTTCGTAATAGCCGCTTGAAGCGCGCCAGAGAGCATCTGTCCCACTGCTTGACAGGAGTGATAGAAACCCATCCGTTTAGCGAGTTCGGTGGGTGTGTACCAGTGCACTACTTTATCAGCCCCGGTCCCTTCAGTCCAGATTGATTCCTTTAAAGGAGAAAGAAAACGCACTGAACAAAGTAATCATCCCCGGCCACGCACTACTCTCACAAAGACCCAGAAACACCCGCAACACGTAGACTTGTCTCGCGCTGGTTGTCATTGCCATTAGACCCGTTAGAAAACCCCAGAGGATTTCTAGGCCTGGGAGCCAGAAGCTGGGGCGGACGTAGGTTAGGATGATTTGGGAGGGGATGAGCATGATGCAGTAGGCGACGTTGAATGTTGTTGTGAAGCTGTATTCGTTGATCAGTCTTGACTTTTTATGCTAGGGTGGATGGTGCGAGGGTACTAGTTGAGTTCATTGCCGTGGAGATGGAGGTCTTCTTTCATGCCGGAGACGTAGGCGTTGTTGATGTTTTGTTGGTCAAGGTATTTAATTACTACTCGTCAGGTCAGTTTTCAACTTTCAAGTCATTTCCGAAAGGGGGATATATGGCTCACTCACCCTGGGAAATACACCCAAACGTCAACAGAAACATATCCAGTCGCCGGACAAGAGCCCTTTCCTCCGATGAGCGGGCATTGTTCGAATCTCCTTGTGAGGTATGTCTGTGGATTAAGCGTTTGAAAGACGCCATAACTGTTTGCTTCTTACTGTCGAGGAGACGGTATAGCGAGCAGTATTCATATCTCCTCCCAAACAGGCAGTATCACGATAGGCATTCCCCCCCCGCCAATAACCGCCTCCTCTCTATCATGGTTATCAAGAATGCGCTAGTATCCCATCCCTGTTTGGAGTAACCGTAACCTCATGATAAGGAATGTTGATTGATTGATTGATTGATAAGATCAGCGACCCCGCGAAATATGTATATCTCCACCCCTTCCATCGCCAACACTGTACACAACACCAACAACAATAAAAAGATGCCCCAAGGAAACACCCTCCCCAACCAAACCCCCAGCCTAAGCTACTGGCAACGCACAACACGCCCATTCCCCCATCTCCACGCAAACCGCACCACCCCTGTTCCAACCTCGGCTAAATACGTGGTCATCGGATCAGGCATTGCGGGGGCTCTAACAGTGTTTGAATTACTCGAGGCTGGCATTGATGAGGGAAAAGTTGTTATTCTCGAGGCAAGAGAGGCGGCTGGTGGTGCTAGTTCGAGGAATGCGGGGCATGTGAGACCGGGTGTGTTCCCTTTTTTCTTTTACTAGTGATTGGATAGATGGTTGATAATAAGTTGTGGTAGATGCATTCCGCGGCTTTACGGCATATTCCAAAGTCCACGGTGCCGAGCAAGCGCTGAAAATCATCGCCAACGAGCGCCTGGTCTTACAAAAGGTAGACGAGTTCATCACAAAACACGCTGTGGCATGCGACTTCCACCACACAACGACATTCGACGTCTGCATGACCCCCGACTTCGCAGAGTACGAAGTTGCGAGTTTCAACGCATATAAAAACGCAGGCGGTGATGTATCCCATATCAAATACTACACTGGCCCAGAAGCGCAGGCGAAAACGAAAGTCCCCGGCGCAGTAGCTGCGTACGAATGGCCGGCTGGGTCGAGCCATCCGGCAAAATTAGCACAGTTTCTTTTGAATAGCGCGGTGGAGAGAGGTGCGAGGTTGTTTACGTTTTGTCCGGCTATAGCTATAGCGCAGTCGTCGAATGCTGGGTCTGGGTTGTGGGATGTACATACGCCCCGGGGAACAGTGATTACTGAGAAAGTGATACATTGTACCAATGCGCATGCTGCGTTTTTACTACCCCTGCTGGATGATTATATCACGCCGAACCGCGCCCAGGCACATTCGTTGATCCCGACAGGTGCATTCACAGGGAGGAATATCCTCCAAAACACATTCTCGCTGCGCTACAGTCTGCATCATTTCTACTCCCTGATCCAGCGACAAGCAGACGGGACGCTTATCCTGGGCGTGTCGAGGTCGAATCCTACGCTTAGCAGGGAGACGATTGATGGGCAGTTGAGTACGGATGATAGCAGGTATAATGAGGAGATTGTGTTGGATGCATTGCGTAGTTTTGGGGAGATTTTTCCGAGCTATAATGCAGAGGATGCATTGCACGGTGAAGGCCTGGACCATGCTTGGACGGGGATTGTTGCGATGACGGCGGATTCGGTGCCGTTTGTTGGGGAGGTTGAGGGGTTTCCGGGGCAGTTTGTTTGTGCGGGGTTTAATGGACATGGTGAGTGTCTGTTTTTGAGATTGTAGAATGAAGCTGACTTTGCAGGTATGGCGCGCATTTTTACATGTGCACCTGGTGTTGCTAAATTGGTGCTTGGGGGGGAGTGGGACGACACAGGTCTACCTGAGTGCTTTCAGATCAGCAAAGAGAGACTCGGTAGACTGTCATCTCAAGCTGTGCCATCAGTTTGGTGATTACTGCGAAGCACATGATCACGCACGTTTGTATAATAGACTGCCCGTGCGAAGCGTATATATTCAGTAGGACGAATCAACCACATCCATATGTGCAGAAGTCAAAAACAAACATGTTGTGGTATATACAAGGCAGCGAAAGAACCTTGAGATCCAATATTGGCCAAAAATACGTATACACGTATCCAAACGAAAGTAGAAGATGTATAATAAAGACAATATATATATATATATAAAAAAAAAAAAAAAAAAAAGGAAAAAAAAAGAAAAAAGAAATGTACGGTCAAAAAGTCGTAAGAAGGAGTTCACTCCCAAACGCCAAGACGCCAAACACCCACGGGGTAATCCCCGGACCAGGTCGACCTGCGATAGGGCGGGAGATTACCCACCCAAGTCCGTGGGAGACTGAGTATAGCGTGGTCTCCCTTGTTGGTGGCGGACTAGACCAGAGCTTGTTTCGTTGGAATACTCGTGAGCCGACGGTTAGGAAACCGGTTGGTAGCCCTTGTTGCGGAGTTCACTTTGCTTCCAGTCCGTCTGGAAGTTGCTCATCTCGGTCCGGTCTTGGTTCCAGTTGGAGTCGTCGAGAGCGTTTTCGAGGCGGCCCTTCCGGCGCTGTCTGATGCAGTAGAAGATAAATCCGGCGATGCCAATAGCACCAACAGCACCAGCACCGATACCAACACCAGCCTTGGCACCGGTAGGCAGTTCATCCCACTTCTCGGATAGGGACTTCGGTGGCGGCTTGTTCAATTCGGTGACAGTGGTAGAGTTGCCCCTAATGACAATTAGCATCATGCATATAATAGACAGTAGTAAAGGAAGACATACTCGACAACCTTGATGCTCTCCCAATCACCAGTATCGTCTGTGTATTCGTATTCCTTGCCGGACGAAAAGTCGTGCGCGCGGACCTTGTCAACGACCATGGTGTAAGGACCCTTGTCGTAGTCGACCTCACCACCTGCCCACTCAATAGTACCCAGAGGGTTACCAGAGTCACCGGCGGGCCAGATACCAAAACGAATGTTACTCGGGGTCTGGGGAAAGTTCTTTCCATCCAAAGCGTCTTCGTATTTCAGAGTGCGGACCAATTCCTGATCCAGCCACCACTCCACCTTCTCCTTGGTCCAATAGGTGGTGTAGTTGTGGAACTCGGTGTCAGCGTTGGAGACGTCGTGGTAACCGCCGCGGTCGTAGCTCGAGTCGTTTCCTTTGCCGTAGTAGTTGGACTGCACCTGGGAGGTGTTGTAACCGACCCATTCCCAGTCAATCTCGTCCAAGTCGTCGGACTGCAGGACAACACTGCTGACAATACCACCACCCTTGGCCATCTTGACGTGAGTCTCGACAATACCGAAGAAGATGAAGAACTTGGACTGCAACGTGGGGGAGTCCAGCTTCTTCTTGATGGAGAATTCGGCTCCGTCCTTGGTCCAGTCGATTTCGCCATTGGTCGTGGCCCAGATGCTCTCGTCTTGGGTTCCGTTGAAAACCCACGTGTGGTTCGTACCCAGAGCAGGGTCAGCCGGACAGTCCTTCTTGGTAGGGTTACAGTTGGTGAAGGTCTGGGCATGGACGGAGGTGATACAGGCCAGCAACAGGCCGATGAAGAAGCGGGCGAGCATGGCGACGGTAGTAGCTATTCGGATCAAATGAAAGAAACGAAGGAATCTCTTGCTGTAGGCGAGGGCGAGCAGATATATTGCTCAATAATTGCTAAAAAAGAATGGCTGGCCAACAGACAAAGGCCAAAAAGGAGTGGAAGTGCGCTGAAACGCACGAGCAAAGAATGAACGAGGGACAACAGCCCACCACAGCAAGAGAGCGCGATATATTCAAGAGAAGCAGAACAAGAATAGAAGAGAGAGAAAAGAACAGAAAAAGAGAAAAAAAAAGAGGAGAAGAACAGAGATCAAACCCCGTGACCGGCGGCGAATTCAACCGCCGAATTATTCTTAGTGCTGTAAGGGGCTTTCCTATTCGAGTAATCTATGCTTAGTCCAGACCCCACCGCTAATCCCGATAAGGCTAGCCCATCGTGTTAATCAGAGTTTAGCTGTTTCAGGTATAGATCGGCAGGAGGCCCGGGGTTTGTCCTGGTCTGTGGTTGGCTGTCGGTGGATGACCTAATCTGCAGGGTCAGGTGACTGATTTACTGATCTGATCCTGAATATGATTTACATAACTATGTATTTCGTTAAATATTTACTCGTATATTTGTAGTCATAGTCAATAACACTCTTACACTCTCTACTATGTATGCACTATGTAGTACCTGTAAAAATTGAGACTAGCCAAGCAAACCAAGCAAACCAAGCAAACCCGCTGAAACTAGTGCCGTCTGAGGGCCCGCTACAGACCCTGATTCTTTAATAGGAGAGTGGCAAACAAAAAAAAAGGGGCTTATCTTTACGGACTCGATACGGCTCTATTGCGGCCTTCATAGCCTGCTCTATTTCTGTATCTACCGAGTACCTCTAGTGACACCGTCAATGCACAATGCTTGTTTCTCGCTTAGTGCACCGCGATGTGCTATTTTAATGTTGTCAATGCACACTTGTTTAAGACATTGAGTTCATTGAGTCGTTTTATCCGAACATGAAGAATTCCATATTGACCTCCGAGACATGTCATCATAAACATCCGAGTCAGCCATAACAAATACATCGAGTCATAACCATAGCAGGCATAACAGTTCGTCAAGTCATATACACCCTCGACGGCCGTCTCGGCTCATCCCGATACCTCGGCCGCGAACGGCTCCCCTTCTCCACGTATTCCACCACAGACGGGCTACTCGTGCGCCGTCTACGCCGTCGACCCCCGGTCTCGGCCCCAGCTCCAGGAACATATCCAACATCAGACTCTCCACCGCTCCACGCACCCTTTAAATTGCACACTTTCCACAACCAGATCAGCAGAAGGGTACCGGCGATCGATCCGATAACGATACCGGCTATACCACCGCCAGATATAGTACTCGGGCAGGTATCACCGCTGTCAGAGGATTGACGGGCAAGAACGGGGGCCTGATTGAGATGTGCGATCTAGATGAGCGGTTCGGTTCCACGGGATGAACATCGGGAGCGATCCGGGGATCTGACTTACCATTTTGATGGATTTTTGAACCGGGAGTACGGTGTACTATGAGTACCTGTGCCAAACCTGTGCAGGATTTGTTTCTCTACGAGAATAAGAGAAAGAGAAGAGCGCCTTTTATCGCATTCAAGGATGTCCTCCCGCACTGACGTCAAGAGCACGTCTTGCGACGATCGCGGCAGAGCCGGTCAACTACGAAGTATACAACAGAATACTCGAGTGGAATACTACTATACTATACGTATAGTGCCTGGCATAACTCTATATGTGTTTTTAGCTGTCATGCACGACATAGCTATATCGCATCTGCAGCAATTGAGACCCGTTTCGGGGCATTTATATGGGGATACTGTACTATGAGTTGTGCTGGTGACAGGCGGGGTAATCAGGTGATTTACATCCGGTTGAATCCTTTGGCAATGATCAACTTGCTGAGGCTTGATAGTGATAAGAAAACCTGGAAGACTGACAGAAGTGGGGAAGGTCTCCGGAGTGTATACTATGGTAGGTAAGGGAGCCGGTCAAATGCGGTGGTTGAGTGAATTGGTATAATTGTACATAGTTGAGAAGAGTCCTTTCACTCATCATTGATCCCATCTCTCAATGCCACCGGCGATGACCAGCTATCTTGATTTTGACGCAGAATTTAACATCTCACATGCTCGTTTCCCTTATAATAGTGCTCTAGAGACATTGGCTGTCAAGATGCCAATTCGTTAGCATGATTGCCTGAACACTCGGGTCTCAAACGATCGATGGAAGCCAGGCTCGGATCTTTTATCAAAGAAGAGCGTCAACAGCCCAAGAATTTTTAGAACGAATGTGTGCTCCCATCGAATGAACATGTCTACGTGACAGCAGGATTCGCGGGGGGGGGGTTAACACTCCATACGATGAACCTGGAAAACAGCCAAGAATTTTGCGTTCTGGACGCGACCTAGCACCAGAGACATATTTAAATACATCGTCCCACTTCCCTAAGCAACATCACATCTATAGTTCCTCAAGCCAAAGACGTCAGACGAATTCGTTATTTCTCATACAGAGATTACCTGGCTCAAACCCCGTGTTGCTGTGCGTTTATCGCAGTCTTTCCAGACTGAAAATAATAGCCGATGAGATATGGAAGAAAGCCGGTCGCGCTATGGGTGACCCCAGCTAGCATTCTCCTAAATGATACGGAGCATCTGTCGCCTCGGAGCCGCCCAACCACCAGTACCGTGAGGTGTGCGTGCGCTGTCTTCATTACAGTCATGAAAAATTCTCCTGCTGCGTCCGGGCCCACGCATTTTGCAAGTGCTGGTGTTGTGGAGCAGGGAGCCCATGCCTATTCGAAAATTCGTAACCTGGTTCAATTTGATTTCAGAAATCGTTCTCTTCAGAAAAAAGCGCATTCATCAAAGCGCTCGGAGGACATCCTATGGAGATAGTGTTCATAATATAAAGGACTATAGCAAAGTGCTGGTCCAAAGACCTGTGTGAAAGGTTGAGTCGAGTGGCTAGCTATATTTCTCTTAACGACCTTCTGCTACATCTAATCGGCAACCTAATGTCCCGGCAATATCTTGACTCTTTATTGTGTCAATGAAGAGCTCTGTGGCAAACGTTGACAGCATCGTGCCAGCCTTCTACTATGTATATCTCTGTGCTGTTTTGGTCATTGTGGGCTGAACATCTGCATACTGGACCCAAGCAAGCATTGTGTCCTATTTGACAGAACAGCCGAAAAAGCTACTATGCTCAATTCGAGAAACATACCAAGACCCGACAATTGCTGGAAAAAAGGAAACTAGCCCAAGTTACTAAAGGATACGTCTTTCAAACCTGTGACAGAGCATATAATTGTCCAAAGATGACCTCCGCCATGGATTCTCGCCCTTTCTTATCAACACAACTAGGCCAAAAGACCTAACTGGAGAAGTTATCTCGGGGCCTTAAGCTGTAGCAAAGGATCGTCCCAGAGCAAGAGGCAAGATGCAACAACAGCGGGAACAACCGAGCTATTCAAGCCCCAAAGTCTTTCGATGTGGACGCCACTCCTTTCTATGGAATCACCGCTGTGGATGTTAATTCTGCATATGCCTGTGACAATAGTGGCTTTGAAGCTTCCTCCAAGCCCCGTCAACTCTGATTATACGATAAAAAGACGCATATCGAAGAGGGGTCTCTAATTTCCTTCCGAGTAACTGCAAATAAAAGCTTTCTGGATCATAAAGCCGGGATAGCAAACGTTGGCCCCGACTCTTATGTCACTTTGCCACTCGAGGACCAAACGACGTCAAAGGATTCTATGTTGGATTCAAATGCTGGATAAAATGGCGACTTGCAACACTGCTTTCTAGAAGTCTAGAGGGAGGTCACAGGGCAAATTATTCAAAGCAGTCAAACAATTGCTTGACAAAATTGCTGCAGAAGATGATACCCACCCTCACTTTGCTCGCAATGACACTTTCCTGGCAAGTTCACGAAATCACTCAGTTCTCGCGCAACAATACGCTAGAAAACACGATGCCCTCTTTGGCGAGAAAGCAAGGAAAGTTACCATGGTCAATTTAGAACACTGCGGGCAGTGCAATCTGCTCCGGGTATCTTCGGAATAACAGCAATATGAAGAGAAATAGCGCCTTAGTTAGTGCAGTAGTAGTATCTTCTGCCAACCCAAAATAAGAAACGACTATCTCCCACTCAAACAACGAACGCGTATGGTACCCCGTAGTTTTAAGCAGTTGCCTAGGAAGGCTGTGCTAAATTAAGCACGCGTTGCGTAGGGCTGAGGAACTCCACGTGGAGATCTTTCGGCCCTACAACTTCAACACCCAAACTCAACAGCAACCAGACTTCTACGATGTTCAATTCAATTGAATGGCGTACAAGATTCTACCCACGTAATCCATGCCTCTCTTAGCAGTGGCACCTGTCATGTCATATTCAGGAAATTTTGGGAACGTACCGGCCAAATCATGTCCGCCACTACGCCACACCCTGGTGGGGCCGGGCTTGCGTATACTCAATGGCGACGCCTCATCCTCATACTTCGTTAGTGACAGGCTAAACCGAGGCATCACCGAGTGGAAGAGTATATAAAGAGGTGGTAGCCCAGTATTATCCTCTTATCACTCATCAGCCTTTTCATCTACAATCACCAAGTACATCTACACCACATACATCAAACGAACATACCGAACACCGAATAAAACATCCAACCAACATGCACGGCCATCATCAGCATCATCATCATCACGGTCCCCCCGGCGGTGGTCACCACGGAGGTCCTGGCGGTTTCGGAGGCCCCGCTGGCTTTGGCGGTCCTGGCGGCCCCGGACATCATGGCCATCACCACGGACACCACGCCCCAGGAGGGTTTGGCGGTCCCGGTCCCATGGGCCACAACCCCGGCTTCGAGAAATTCGGTCCACCGGGTGCCGGTCGCCACGATAACCCGCCTCCATACAACCACATCGAAGGACTCGGGTCCGGGTTTGGTGGTCCAGGTCCCAACCACGGTCCTGGTTTCGGGCCTGGACCTGGACCTCAAGGGCATCATCATGGCCCTAGAAATCATGGTCCCGGTGGTTTTGGTGGTCCTGGCGGTCCTGGTCCGGCTGGTTTCGGACATCATGGTGGTCCTCATGGGCACCACGGTCATCACGGCCATCATGGACCGGTAAGTTCGAAGTCACCTAAGGAAAGATACGTTGGACGATTTGCTAACTGCGGTTCAAAGCATTAGCCTCAGCAGCAACATCATCACGGACTTCTGGGGAAGATTTTGCATCACCGTCACCATAAGCCATGATCCGGAAAGGTATATAGGAGGAGGATTAGTTTATTTTTGAAAGCGTTCTGTTAGTCCGTTTGACACAAGATTGATATCCGATTTTGATGCTGTGTTTGTTTAAATTCCGTTGTTGTTATGAATGAGTTGTTGTCATAAACGAGTGCATATTTACTCGATTGAATCATATATAAACCAATGCTCAAGAGACCAACATAAAAATAAACCATGAAAATGAACAAGAACAAAACCCGAACCCTTTGCATAGTATATTCAATCCAAAGCAATAAAAGAACACCAACCCCAACCGTAGGCAATTTGCATATGTTCATAAACCATTCACCAAAATCATTATCGTCCCGTGATATAATCCTTGTTTTCGATAGTTACACTCTTGGTCATATGGTTGACCTTGTACACTCCCACCAGGCGAGAGGCAAGTTCGAACTGTTGATGGTCAGATAACGGTCTAATAAAAGTGGAGGACAAAAACTTACCATATTGTTTCTGAGCGAAATGACGATAAACTGTGCATTCTTCGTCCTCTCCTTGATATACGACGCCACAATCGAGACCTAACCAGTCAGTAAACACCCATATAATTGGTAGGAGGCAAACTCACGTTTCTAAAGTCGAGGGCAGCATCAATCTCGTCCATGACATACAACGGCGTGGGCCTGTAATGATGGAGTGCAAACACCAACGCCAAACTGGACAGCGTCTTCTCACCACCAGACAAGTTACTGATGTTCTTCCAGCTCTTCTTCGGCGGCATCACGGAGAACATGATACCCTCCGAGAACGGATCGAGCGAGTCGACCAGTTCCAGTTCCGCGTTACCACCCATGGTGATCATTTGGTACATTTCCTTCAAACGGAGCGAGATAGTGCTGAAGCCCTCCATGAATCCGTTCAAGCGAGCGGACCGGAGACCGTCCAAGCGTGCCTTGGCGCTGTCACGGGATGCCAGTGCTGTGGCCAGATCGGCGGAACGGGACGAGTGTTCGGCTGTACGGCGGCGGTACTCTTCAATGACTGACAGGTCGACAGGCGCGCTCTGGGTCTTCTCCTCGAGTGCTGCGATAACAGCCTTCAGAGACTCCTTGTTCATTTCGTCCAGCTCATCTTTGGTGAAGGTTTGGAGCTCTGCGGGTTCATGTTCGTCATCGCCAAGGTCACTGACATTCTGAAGAGTCAAGTTCGACAGCTTCTCCTGCCAGTAGCGCCCTCGCTTCTCGTTTTCGGAAAGGGCCTTTTGGTTCTCTTCGAGTTTGTTGCGCATTTCAATCTCAGAAGCCCGGCTCTCGTTCAACTCCGCAACCTTATCATCCAGCTCATCCTTCATAGACTTGAGTTCACCCTTCTTCGTCTCGAGAGCCTACACCGTATTAGTTAGCCATAGTCAACAGAGCATGTAGTAATATAATCTTACCTCTTGAGCATCCTCAACCCTTTGCCTCCAGCCAGATGCATCGTTGGACTGATTCTCCACATCCGCCTCTAACTTCTCCAGACCCTCAGAGACCTGCTCAAGTTCCTTCTCAGCATCAGCACGAGATTTCTGGTGCTTGGCAATCTGCTTCTCATTCTTGGACTTCTCGACTTCAGCGTTGGAGATCTCATCAGCAAGAAGGCCGATCTGCTCCTTCAGACCGTCGACCTTGGCCTTCTGGCTTCGCAATCGGACACCACCAACTTCCATGATCTTGTCTTGCAGGGTTTGGATTTCCTCCTCAATCCCGCCTCTCTGTTCACGGAGTCCTTCAATTTCCCCCTCAAGGGAAGCAATTTGCTTCTCGAGAGCGGCCGCCTGGCCAGCGTCGCCCTTGGAAGGCTTGTGTTCTACGCCCAATTCCTTGACTCTGCGCTGGGCATCAGTAAGAGCACGACTGGCACTTTCGATTTCGAGCGTGATCTTCTGGATCTTGGTATCGACTCGAGGGATCTCTTCGGTCTTCTCGCGCATCATAGCCTCGATATTCCGTTGCTTCTCCTGGAAGACGAGGAATTTCCTTTCCGTCTCCTCGAGGTTTTCTTCCAGTTTGGTGACTTGTTCCCTGCTCGTATCGGCGACCTGCTTCGAAGACATTCCACCGCGGGCAACGCGTGTTCCACCACCACTCATGGTACCGGAAACGTCGATGAGTTGACCGTCCAGTGTCACGACACGCCAGCGACGAGCACCATAAGCGATGCGGTTTGCGTGCTCAAGGTCCTTGGCAACCAGTGTGTTTTGCATGACACTGTAGAAAGCTGGTGCAAACTTCGGGTCCTTGGGCTTGACGAGGTCGAAAAGACGTGGGACACTTTCGGGGGTGTAGATACTCGACATGTCCCTGCGGGGCAAACGGTCGAGAAGGATGAAGTTGGCACGACCAAGGTTGTTCTTCCTGAGATAGTCGATACATTGCTGACCAACTTCAACGGACTCCACAACCATGTTCTCCAGCGCTGGGCACGCGGTCGAAATGGCGACATCGTATTTCTCGTCGATCGTACCAAGGTTTCCTAATCTTCCATGGAATCCATCAATACGTCCAGACTCCTTGAGACGCATAAGACCGGTCAACACGCTGCCACGGTTCTGGGTGCTTTGCAGACTGGCCCTCGCCTCGTCCGCCTTTTGACGTGCACTAGAAACGTGGGTGCGAACCTCCGGCTCCCGCTGAGAGTACTTCTTGAGGTCACTCTTGAGCTTGGCCACTTCCTCCTCCAGCGTAGCTCTCTGGGACTTGTGCTCTTCCAGGTCGTCTTGTTTGGCGGCAAGCGTTTCCTCAATCGACGAGACCTTCGACTGCGCTTCTTCCAACAGGACGGTACCAGCGTTGCTTCTCTCACGGAGGATGTCGAGTTCACTTTGCGCAACAGCAACCGCGGACTGTTTCTGGTTGATTTTCTCGTCCCATGGCTCTAAGGATCGTTGCTTGGCAGTAATCTTATCGGACAGGCCTTGTGTCTTGCCCTTCAGTCCGTCACGAATTGTCGACAGCTCCTCTTCTTCGGCCTTCATCTCCTTCTCGAGCTCGTTGGTTTCCGCCGTCTTCTTCTCAATATCGTCAGTGTGCTTCTCGACCAAACTCTGGCATTCGGATGCCGCCAGGCGCGTAGAGTGCATGGACTTTTCGAGCTTTTTCTGCTTTCCGACAAGGAACTTCTTCTTCTCATCGAATTTGACCGATTCCTTATCATACTTGGCCATTTCTTTCGTCAAGCTCTGGACTTCTTTCTCCATGCTCTCGTATTCCTTCAACCCACGTTTGTAGGCTTTTTCGATATCCTTAATGCCAGACTGGTTGCCTTCGTGTTTCTCGAGCTCGAGATTCAGGAGTTCCTGCATTTGCAAGATCGCTTCTTCTGTGACACGGATGTTGTCAAGGCATTCGTTGATGTAAATCTGGTACAAGGCCGACTGTTTCTCTGCCATATCGTTCTCGTCGCGGATATAAGAAAGCGCATTGTTCTTCTTGTCCTCGAGGCCTGCCTTCTCCTTCTCCACATGTTGGACACGGTTGTTCTTCTCGACACAGACATCGTTCAACGATTCGAGTTCGTTGGCGGCTTCGTCAATGGGGGTCTTGTATTTTGACGTGCCGATAATGTCTTCGAGGTATTCCAAAAGTCCATCCTCGTGCTCGTTGGCCGCTTTGGATTTCATCTGCGAAATGGATTCGACCTCACCTTGCAAGATGAGGAATCGTTTGTGGTCGAGGTCGACTCCGCGGTCGCGCAGGAATGCCCCGACTGTGTTAAAGCTGCTTTCTTTGCCGTTCATGTAGTATTTGCTGGTGTTGTTCTTAAACGCTTTGCGTGAAATGATCAGTTGGGAATCTGGGACTATTTCATGTTGTCCGGTCGGCAGGTCCACAACCTCCTGGAAATGGACTTCGACTTCACAGTACGGCAGGTCGGGGTAGTCTACGGAGTTATGGATAAGGGCCGAAATCTTGCCCTGTCTCATCTTGCTGGCCCGGAAACCAAACACGAAAAGGAGGGCGTCGATGACGTTCGATTTTCCGGATCCGTTTGGTCCGACGACGGAAGAGAACGATGCGTGGAATGGTCCGACAATCTGCTGTCCTGCATAACTCTTGAAGTTTGTTAGAACCAAAGTCGTCATCATCAAGCGGGTCTTCGGCCCTTCGGGTTCCTGGGGCTCTGGCGGCGCAACGTTGCGGGACTTTATCATAATGTCCATGGGCTTCTCGAGGACCGTCGTGTTCGGATTGATAATGGAGATCTGCGACTTTTGCTCCTCTGCGGGCTTCGGCGTCTGGTTCACGGTGGAGTCGGTGATATCGGCGAGCGGTGCAACACTGCTTCGTCGTGACGGCGCTTGCACTTGCGATTGCGATTGCGGCGATGCTGATGTCTCTGGATTCGGGAGTGAGAACTTTTCCAGGTGGGTTATGGGGCCACTACTCTGGCGGGGGGGGTCCATACTCTTTCTCTTTAAAGATGCTGCCGCTACTTGTGAAGGTGACTGGGGTTCTCCTCCCATACTAGCGACGGAATCGCCATCTTCGTTCGAATCGCTGGCCTGGGACGTTTGTACAGGCTCGCCTGACATCGATCGCCGCGATTTTCGTGCGGGGCGCGCAGTACTCGGGGTAGCTGGTTCGGCGGTGGGGGCTCTGGATGCCCTCGATGCTCTCGACACTGGTCTCGAGGCCGTAGAGGCCCTTGAAGAGGCCCTCGAAGTTGTGGAGGCCGAGGAGGCGGCCGAAGCCGTGGATTGTCGTCGAGACTGTCTGGTCATGGATTGTCTGGGCATGGACTGTCTGCTCATCGAAGTTCTTTTGGGGACCGGTGTGTACTCCTCTTCTTCCTCCTCTTCATCGTCGTCTTCCCCGCCGTGGTTGGAGGGGGTCGGGGTGACATTGCCGGAGTCTTCTGAATCAGGCGTCGATTCGACAACGTAGCTTCTTCGGGGAGCAGAACGGCGCGACGGCCTGCCCTTTGCGATTGTCGACATTTTCGAGTATACTATGCGAGCAACAGCCGCATCGAGGCGAGAAGGTGTTGTGGTCGTCGGGGTTTGTTGATTTTCGGCGGCGGTGGAAAGTGGGCGGTTGTTTACCTTTTCGCCGCATCGGGAAAGGCGTCTTTTTCTGCCATAACAAAGAACACCGCCCGGCTTATGTCACTGATACGATCTGTAAATTACAGTAATTTATGGCCGGCAGAAAAGACGATGAAGGAAGACAGGAAAACAACAACAGCAACCGCATAAGCAGACACCATGGCTCCGTGGGACGATTTCGATACTATATTCTCCTTTAACAGGAATTTTGTGTACGATGGCAAGGTCATTGAGCAGATCACCTCCAACCGCCGTGCGCTGGAGAACAGGCTCTTCGCAGACCGACTGCTAGCATTGCTCGGGGTCAAAGCAGGTAAGTGGCAGACTGCGAAGTTATCAATACTAGCCAGTGGATGGATGCTGATTGTGCGCGTTTAGTTACGAAACTCTATCCTCCCAGATCTAATTCAGACCTCCGGACGCTCGTTGGACACATTACCTCATCGCCGCTGGACATCCATCACAAGCAAGCGTTGATCTACTATATCCTGAAGGACTGTCGTGCTGCTGGAGATGCCGCCCCACATTTTGCGCGTCGATGCCATCTGCCGGAGAAGTACAGGCTGTTCATTGAAGGATTGTGGAATCTGGATCGCTTGGAATTCAGGGTATGTTGCTCCGATGGAAGCGTGGTGATGATATGGACTGACAGCTAACTGTTTAGCGCGCCGTCGAATTTCTGACCGAGCCCTCCATCATTCCGACCTTCCCAGACGAGATCCTCTACGTCCTTACCCTCTCGAATCTCCCGAAGCACGATGACAGCCTCGTCATGGCATACTACTTTACCGTCAGCCCGCCGCTTGCGACAGAGAAGGTCCAGAAAGCTTTCTTCGCAACCCTTTGCCGCGCCAGTATTACGGAGGCATTCTATTTCACCAGAAAGAACGACGAGTCGCTGCGCCGTAGCTATCTCGAACAGTTGATTGTATTCGTCCACAAGACCGCCGCCGGTCAAATACGAAGCAAACGGGCCATGGAGCTGATTGGTCTCCCGCTGGATGAGAAGGAGGAACAATGGTTTGAGGAGGCTCTTATTCAAGGAAGCACAAAGGCGCTGCACGGTGCCAAGGATACTGTCATGATGCGACGACTTGCGACGGGGAAGCTGAGCGGGCTCTCTGCGGACCTTGAGTCTTTAGGTGGAAAGAAGGTGGACGGCTTGAACTGGGATGTTCTCAAGCAGAGCATGCCCGTACGCAACACATAATACCCCGGTGGTAGTAATTTTGAGTGTGGTGTGTATTCGATATGCTTGTTTATGGAGATTTAGCATGGGATTGTAGTCGCATTGCAAACACAACCGGAGTTATGGTGTTTATTTTCTAGCCTTAGCATGAATGAATTCTTGCTTTTCTTATTCTACTGTCTTATCTTTTATTATTCATGTATCTCGTAAACTAAATTGTCTATAGATGCCTACTGTTCGGGTTGTAATATTACCGAAAAAAACGTACATCACCGCAGGCATCGCTCTTCATCTCGACAACCTCTCTGCCTACACGTCCATTCTTCGCTGAAAAGAGCATATCCTCACCTTTTTCTTATTTCAAACGTTAGATTAATACTTGGGGTCTCTATTCAGGCCCTCAGTGAGAATTTCTAGGCCGATTGAAGGTCCGCCGTGAACCATTCGTTACGAGGCCTTATCACCGCAGATTCCTCTCCTTGAGGAGACTCCGGCCATAGAGACATCAAAATGGTCGTCTGCAATTTCTTCCTACAAGGCCGGTGTAGATTTGGAGGTAAGTCTTCACCTGAGTATATTTCATGTTCTCTATCACTAACGCTTATCAGACCGCTGCAAAAATGAACATCCGGGCCAAGCTACAATGGGCACGTCGGGGAACCGCTTTGGGGCTCTCTCTGGCGGAGGTTTCGGAGGTACGTTCATTCTTTTGGATATGGCATATGCTACTCATCTAACCGGCGCTAGGCCGTACAGGACCCCAGGCTCAACAAGCACAAAAGTAAGTCAATGGTTACTCTACTTTTGTCTGCTAGGATACTTACGGAATACAGCTACAGCGTCAATGCGGATGATATCAAAACCGACTTGACCGCTGGTAAAGGACGGCCAGAATGGGTTTTCTCATGCTTTGGTCCTGGACGGAATGCTCCAAGACAACTCTTTGGAGGTCCCCAGCGCGAACACAGTTTTGAAGAACTACGACTACGACATTACGAAGCAGCAGCAACAGGAAACGCAGAGCAAGCGGTACAGGAAGCTCAGATGCTCTATGCAGAATCAGTGAACCAGATGGAAGCCGCCCTGCGTGATATCAGCGGAGCTATCAAATACATCCTGGACGGGGCTAACGAACACCCGAATCGTATCGATATTACAGAGGGCAAGACTGGTCCTGATCCTGGTCCTGGTCCTTCTTTCTCTCAGCCGTCAGCATTTGGAACCCCATCCTTTGACCAGCCTTCCGGGGTTGGTCAGTCAGCATTTGGAAAACCGTCAGGATTTGGTCAGCCTTCAGCATTCGGGCAACCCTCTGCACCTGCGCAGCCCTCTGGTTTTGGGCAACCAAGCGCCCTGGGAACAGGTTCAGCATTTGGACAGCCATCCGGTGTAGGAGGAGGGTCTGCTTTCGGTAAGCCGGCGTTTGGACAACCCAGCCTTGGTCAGCCTTCCGCTGGTCAACCGTCCTCATTTGGCCAACCGGCATTCGGGCAACCCTCGTTCGGTCAGCCATCGGCCCCAGGAGCAGGTCCCTTTGGAAAGCCTACCACTGCATCGCCTTTTGCCCAGATATCGGGCCAGAATCAACAACCAGGTGGCGGTTTTGGTCAACCATCCGGGCAGACTCCGTCTCCATTCGCGCAAATAGGTCAACAACCACAACCGCAACCCGCTCCAACAGGATTTGGTCAACCGTCCACGACTGGCTTCGGTCAGCCCTCACAAACAGCATCGCCATTTGGCCAACCAGCAGCCTCATTCAGTCAACCAACACAAAACCCCTTCGGAGCCGCTGCTCAGCAATCGCAACAACAACCCACGACCTCACCATTCGGTCAGCCCGCCGCTGGCGGATTTGGCCAGCCTGCTGACGCACCTACAGGATTTGGTCAACCAGCCCAAGCCCCAGCCCAGGCCCCAGCCCAGGCTTCAATTCCATCACAACCAGTGGGCACAGGACCACCGCCGGTAATCAGGGTCGACGACGCGAAAGAACTCAATCCCATCCCCCCTCTAAACGGCCAGACTATTCGAAACTCTCTCACGAACAAACTCACTACGTGGAAGGGTCAACCAGTGGATTACATCGACGGTACGCCGTGTTATTTGCATCCACAGGATCGGCAGACTTGGGTTCGTATCTTCTTCCCCGATGGGCCGCCGGAACAGGCCAGTCTTAGAGATGCGCAAGGGAAACCGGAGGAGTATACACCAGAGGTTATGGAGCAGTATGAGTTCTTTTTGCAGAATGGGTATTTTAGGGATGGCGTTATTCCGAGTGTGCCGCCCAAGACGGAGTGGGTGAGCTTTGATTTCTGAGGATTATGTTTTGCAGCATTTTTCATGCGACTACTGTAATATACCATGGACAACAGTCATTACTTGCTTACTGCTTACACCCTACGGAATTTAGCATATGGCAATGGCACAATAATCTTTTAAATCCGTATCTTTTTTGTATTCAGGTTCTATAGGGTATATAAGCCGACTCCACAGGACATCCGAAGTAATCAAACCCCAATGTCCCGCAAGCCAACCACACGCACCATCCCAGTTACGAGACAGCACTAACAACCCCTCCCCTAATCCGTTCGCAACGAAACGAACGAATTTAAGCAGCAATGGTAACCTCAACCTCAACACCAGCCTCGATGTTGATGATGATCTGCTTAACGATCTCGGTGGGGGCAAGCAGGCTGTTCCAGTCAGCAACCAATTCCTTCGTATCTAACTCATTCGGGGAATAAGGGCACGTACTCTATGAGACGCTTGTGGATGCGCATCTCAAACTTGTCCCAAGTCTTCGAACCCTCACCGTTGGGGGTCTTACGGGTGGAGATGTGAAGGGACTTGGTGGGCAGACGGACGGGGCCCTTGACCTGGAGGGACTTGGAGCGGGCACGGTCGATGAGCTCCGAGCAGACCTTCTCGAGGGCGGCGACCTTGCGAGAGGTAAGGGTGATACGGATCTTGTGGACCTTCTATAATTCGAAGACTTGTTAGCGCTGTCAATTGACGGGATTCCAATGAGATAGACGTACAGGGCCCTCGCCGAAATCCTTCTCGGGCTTCTGGAAAGACATCTTGACCGTTGTATTAAGAGATGCTGGAAGAATTAGTGATTGTAGGAATGACGGACGACAAGAAGAACTCACAGGCTACTGCCAATCAAGACCTGAACTGCGTGGCTCGGTAAGGTGATGATGGCCGTTGAGGTTGAAAATGCACGATTTTCGCTTGGCCTAAAATTGATAACGATTTGGCGCTTTTCTTGTGCGGGCGGAAGCCTTGGCGCTCGCCTATCTGGAGCTAACCGCTTCGGGAAACCGACTCCCGCCGACGTCGCCATAGCCATACAGGTACAAGTACAGATACAAGAGCAGATTGTCAGTCAGTTGTTGCAGTAATATTGTTCTTGATACCCTTGCTGTGTGCTTTTTTTCTTTCTAGTTCTTTTCTTTATTTAACGCTCTAATGGCTGATCTACCTCCCCTCGCACCGGTCCCACCACCCGCGGTCCGGACTACGCTACAACAGGCCGAGTGGGAAGCATGTATAGATGCATGGACGATGCTCCTGGGGGTCCGGATAGATGCCCCGGTGAAGATATTCCAAGATGTTGCTTCCAAGGATGAATCTGCTGTTTTGTTCCTATCCTCCTTTTACAACCAACTGGCCACCTCGGGAGAGGCAGGTCTGAAGCTGGGACTAAAAGGACGAACACTTCGAAAGCTATCCTTCCTACTCACAAGACGCATACTACTCGATCTATCCTCACCACCGGCAGACTTACTGGCTTGGAACTTCCTTGGCAATCTGTGCTGTTGTTATCCGTCCAGTGCTGCCCTGAAACGTTTACTATTAGATGCATGGGATAAACACCATGGAACCATCACAGCCAGTGTTGAGAAGGCGAAATCATCAATCATCAAACAACTCATGAACAAAAAGACCTCTGAAACCCCCGCTGTCGACGCGGATATCCGCACGTTGACTATTCTGGCTTCAACCTTGCCCACATGTGGTCAAGTGCTCATGGCGGGTTCCGATTATTTGGATACCCTCTCAGATGCATATCAAGCACAACCCAGAGAGACTCTGCGGAGGGTTTTTGTGGCTAATGTCTACGTTGGGTTGACGTCGTTACTGAAGTCGAAACCGAACCTGTCGTCTCTTCTAGATCAGCTCTTTGGTCTTAAGGCGACTGCGGGGGTTGGCACGTCAAAAACGAGAAAAGAGCCTACACTGCTCTCTGACTTGGTTTGCAGTTCTGATCTGCTTGCTCGTCTGGAGAAATATCTCACGGACCACCCGCAGAAACGCGGAGAGGATCTGGTGTCCAGTCTGCGAACATATCAAACAGAGTCGAGGGTGTTCCATCATCGCTATCAAAAGAAGAAAAAGACGGTCGAGAAGGGCAAGGGCCGAGGCGTGCCTATATCTGGTGGTGAAGAGCTGCATGCACACAGGATGTCCCTCGTCACGCAGATCCAGGATCTCTTCCCAGACCTGGGGTCAGGATATGTCATTCGACTACTGGACTACTACGGCGATGGCCCTGAAACAGTGGTTGCACACCTTCTCGACTCTTCTCTCCCTCCTGAACTCCAATCCCTCGACCAAACCGAAGATCTCTCCATCCCACAATCCATCATCAACCCTGATCCCATGGCACCAAACTCACCACCTCCCGAGATCGCTGAAGCGGATGAATCATTCGCACGCAAGAATATCTTCGACAAGGACGTGGACCTCGCAGAACTCGCCCACTCTAACGACCCCAATGCCCGCAACAAACTCCGTTTCGGCCGCGAAGACGACCTCACAGCCGACGATGTCCTCGCAGACCGCTCCAAGCATGCCGCTAATAAGGCAGCTATCATCTCCGCCCTGGCGACCTTCGACTCTGACGATGATGAACGCGATGACACGTACGACGCCGCTGACGTTGGTGGTACCGTTGACACCGTCCCCGCCAGCACAGACGCCGAGGCAGAAGCGCAAAACCGTCGCGCCACGGCTGAGGATCTGGACCTCTCCCTGTTCAAATCTTACAGATCGAATCCTGGACTGTTTGCACGCGACTCAGCCACCCGCCGCTCCCAGCCACGGACGTCATTGAAGGGCGAGACGGGAATGACTGACGAGGCGATTGAAGGATGGGCAGTTATGTTGCAGCGCGATCCGAAACGTCTTTCGAAACTCGAGGATAGACTTGCGCTTTCTGCTGGAACACCGGGTGGAGCTATGGCGCAGCCCGAGTTACCGCCCACATCGTACAGAAAGCCCCGTGCTGATGAAGAATCGGAAGAGAGTGACGCGCATGGCAGTTTTGGAGGTAGAGGCCGGGGACGCGGTCGTGGAGGCCCAAGGGGAGGCCGTGGTCGCGGTAGGGGCGGTAGTAGAGGAAGTGGTCCGTCTGGGGAACAGAATACGGCTGCTTCTCGGCAACGGAAAGAAGAGAATAAGAGTAGTAGGGCGAACCATAACCGGAGGCAGCAGAGGGCTAAAAAGATTGCGAGGGGTGGTGGCTTGCCTGGGTGATTGCTAGACATGATAATGGTGCATTAATGAAGCGTATACCTTTGTTTAGAGAATAGATTATTGCTATTTGTATAGATACGTGAGCATAGGCATGGATGGCGGAGATATATATCCCTGTTGTATGCGTTTCTACTACATTGCACGCACTTCAACCTTTACTTCTTTGCCTCTAACCTGTACAATAGACTAAATACAATTTAGATAATAACCTATCTTTACTAAAAATACCCTTCACTCCATTGTATAGTTGTATAGTTGTTGACTCTACCCGTACTAATCGGGAAACTCCCAGTGGATGCTCCGTTAATGCCTCATAGTACGGGAAACAGCACTTTCCCGCGCTCTCAACGAGAAGCTCCAGAGTACTCCGTCTACATAAATTATATGTTCTTCTAGCATAGCAATTCAATGGATATCTAATTCTACAGTTGTATATCTATCGGCAAACAGCAACAGTGACAGCCGAATTAACCCGATCTGGCGGGTGATTACATACGCGCCGCTAACCGTATCGATACCGTACCGGGCCGGCAGCTTTTCCCTTGGCCAAACCTCGAAAGCTCCTCGTCCCAACAATCTTCACTGCGGGAAACGTCACTTCTGTCCACCCTGCGTCCATTGACTTGAATCCTCACTGTCTTTAGAGGATTGTTAACCCATCCTGTGACATCGCTTGCTCTCCGCTCCTCGTTACCGCCATGTTCCGCTCCATGTTGCCCCGGACATCACCGCGGGCGGGCCTCCGCGCTGCTGCCCCCCAGTCCGCTCAGTCGACCTTTGTTGTTCCTTCTATGACCTTTTTGAGAACCTCGAGACGGGGTTATGCTGCTGAAGCTGGTATGTTGTGTTCGTTGGAGGTGGTGGGGTTGAGAGCCTGGGATCCGGTGGAAAGGAACATGGGAAGCTACGGGGAAGAACATCTGAGCTAATCATTATGGTTTCCTGGGAATAGGTGACCACGATGTTGTGATCATTGGTGGTGGTGTCGCTGGTTATGTTGCTGCCATCAAGGCCGGTCAGGCCGGTATGAAGGTATGATCTGCATTCAATCGTTCCATCATGCGCACTTCCGGCTGTACCGGAGATATGTGCTAACTGCGCATTCAATAGACCGCATGTATCGAGAAGCGCGGCCGTCTCGGTGGTACCTGCTTGAACGTCGGCTGTATCCCCTCGAAGTCTCTCCTCAACAACTCCCACCTCTACCACCAAGTCCTTCACGACACAAAAAAGCGCGGTATTGAGGTTGGTGATGTCAAGCTCAACCTTGAGCAGATGATGGCCGCCAAGGACACCTCCGTCGATGGCCTCACCAAGGGTATCGAGTTCCTCCTCAAGAAGAACGGCGTCGACTACGTCAAGGGTACCGGTGCCCTGGTTGACCCCCACACCGTCAAGGTCAACCTTAACGAGGGTGGTGAGCAGACCCTCCGCGGAAAGAACATCCTCATTGCTACTGGCTCTGAGTCGACTCCCTTCCCCGGCCTGAACATCGACGAGAAGAGAATCATCACCAGCACTGGTGCTCTGGAGCTCAAGGAGGTTCCTAAGAAGATGGTTGTCATTGGTGGTGGTATCATTGGTCTGGAGATGGTATGCCTTTGCCCTAGTGAGAGAGGTTGAGCCGTCCGTTGCTAATTGCTGTAGGCTTCCGTCTGGTCTCGTCTCGGTTCCGAAGTTACCGTCGTCGAATTCCTGGGCCAGATCGGTGGCCCCGGTATGGACGCTGAGATCGCCAAGCAGGCCCAGAAGATCCTGGGTAAGCAGGGTATCAAGTTCAAGACTGGCACTAAGGTCACCAGTGGTGACGACAGCGGTGCCACCGTTTCCCTCAGCGTCGAGGCCTCCAAGGGTGGTAAGGAGGAGACCCTTGACGCCGATGTCGTCCTAGTTGCCATTGGCCGTCGCCCCTACACCGAGGGTCTCGGTCTGGAGAACGCCGGAATTGAGAAGGACGACAAGGGCCGTCTCGTGATCGACCAGGAGTACCGCACCAAGCACCCCCACATCCGTGTCGTTGGTGACTGCACGTTCGGTCCCATGCTTGCCCACAAGGCTGAGGAGGAGGGCGTTGCCGCCATCGAGTACATCCAGAAGGGCTACGGCCACGTCAACTACGGCGCCATCCCCAGCGTCATGTACACCCACCCCGAAGTCTCGTGGGTTGGCCAGAACGAGGCCGAAGTCAAGGCGGCCGGTGTCAACTACCGCATCGGTACCTTCCCCTTCAGCGCCAACTCCCGTGCCAAGACCAACCTCGACACCGAGGGTATTGTCAAGTTCATTGCCGACGCCGAGACCGACCGCATCCTTGGTGTTCACATCATCGGCCCCAACGCCGGCGAGATGATCGCCGAGGCCACCCTCGCCGTCGAGTACGGCGCTTCTTCCGAGGACGTTGCCCGGACGTGCCACGCCCACCCTACCCTGGCCGAGGCCTTCAAGGAGGCTGCCATGGCTACGCACTCGAAAGCTATCCACTTCTAAACAACTCAACTTCCCCCTTTTTTGACGTCTCTCTCCGCCTGTCATGTGTATTCTCCTATTTTCCTGTCCGTCTAGTCTAGCTCCGCTAGCAAAACTACATGTAGCATTTGATCGCGATTATATCTTGTTTGTTCATTGATATTTATTGATATGAAAAGACTTTTTCTATATATTCTCTTCGATCTATTGTACTCCGTAGTAAATTGAATGTCGTCATAGTTGGCAAAAAACATAAAAGCAAAAAAGAAAATGCGTTCCGACACGGGGAATCGAACCCCGAGCTGCCGTGTGAGAGACGGCGATGTTAACCATTACACCATATCGGAGTGGCCTGGTGAATTACGCCTTTAGGTTTAATTTTTACCCTTGAGGTGCTACATAAAGACGCGCCCTCCCATTTGATCGACGGATTGTTGATGTAAATTAACGCTCTCAATGCCCCCAACAAGTCGAATAGCTTGTTTCTCCTTGCTTCCAAAAAGATTCGTTCGGTCGTTTTCCCGGACAATGGATGCGCGTGAGTTCTGCCTGCTCTACACGTTCTTGTTCTGTTGATAAGCTAAGAAGAAGCTTTCCATCAAGGATCTCCGACGAACGAACACCTCTTTTCATACACATCGGGTCGATTCTTATATAATGAGAACCTTCGGCGCCAGGAACGCCATGTTGGATTTAACGTCGAAGCTTTCAAGGAGCTTGCCGCGCAGGGCATTGAACCTGGCCATGGCAAGGTGACCAACATCACAAAGTTCGCCGAGGGTGGATTCAATCGTGTTTTTCTTCTCACCATGGAGGATGGCTTCCAAGCTATTGCCAAAATACCTTATAAAATCGCTCTTCCTAGGCGTCATGCGACAGCGAGCGAAGCAGCTACGTTAGAGCTGTTGCGGTCGAAAGGTATCCCAGTGCCAAAACTTTACAGTTACTCTGCATCTGTCGACAATCCAGCCGGGGTTGAATACATACTTATGGAAAAAGCCAATGGTGTACCGATCGAGACCAAGTGGCTCTCTATGACAAAGCGAGAGAGAGACACGCTAGCATCCAGTTTCGTGGAAATCGAAAAGAAGTTTTTTGATCTCCCGTTTAAATCCATTGGCAGCATTTACTTTAAGCACGACCTACCGCCAAATCTTCAGACACCTCTATATTCTGAAGATCATAAGCAGGATGACATCTCAGAGAGCTTCTGAATCGGACCTATTGCAGATTATATGTTTTCATACGGGAAGAGGGCTGGGCTTGACATATATAGGGGCCCATGTATGTCTATCTTCTGGACGTTTGATTGAAGCTGCTTAAGCTAATGTCCACTCAGGGAAGGAATCCAAAAGATTACCTCCGTTCAATCGCCGAGAAGGAAATCGAGTCGACTCGCAGGTACGGGAAACCACTCGAGCTGGACTTTCCGCATAATGGACCCTTCCCTGGGAAACACGATCCCAAGCAATACATTGCACTCTTAGAGAAGTACCTAGCTCTCGTTCCCTACCTCCTCCCAAAAGATGATTCGGACCCATTGAACCAACCGACACTCCGTCATCCGGGTATGTTGAAATTCTGCATTGCCTTACCTACTTTCGTATCTTGCTCATTTCTCTAATAGATCTAAATCCCAATAACATTTTCATATCCCCCGAGACCGGCGCAATTTCTTGCATCATAGACTGGCAGCATACGACAATGGAGCCGCGCCTTCTCGTGGCTGGTTATCCTCGCGCTTTCGAAAACCCAGAAATTATTGAGCCGTTCGACCTGGATGAACCGAAACTCCCGTCTGAATATGACTCGTTGAGTGTTGGCGAAAAAGCAGAAGCCGACGAGCTTTATCGTCGGCAGACGCTATTTCACTATTATCGTATCTTCAATGGCGTACTCAACAAGCCCCATCTTAGTGCTTTACGTGGCCCTCTTCTACACCCTCGCAAACATCTAGTAGACAGGGCAGGTCGTCAGTGGAGCGGAAATTTGATCACACTGATGGGGGCTCTCGTCCGAATGACTGAATATTGGTCTCTCCTTCCGGACACAGAAGGTATTCATTGTACAGTCAAATTCATGCCAGACGAATTGGAGACATTTCACGAACATGAGGAAATATGGTTTGCTTTGAACGCGGTCGTGAACCAGTGGCGAGACCAGATAGGGGTGAATGACGATGGTTGGGTTACCAATGAGAGATATGACGATGCTGTCAAAAGGGCCAGACAGCTTAAAGATAATCTTACAGTGGAGATGGAAGGTGATGAGGAGGATATTGCCTTGTTAAACAACGGCTGGCCATTTAGGGACCACGAGGAGGAATGAATCCTCTATTTTGTACTCAATTCTACTAGTCAATCGTACCCCAGGCACAACGGACCCTTGAACCTTCCGCAGAATTTCCCGTCCGCTTCATGGGCTGACGGTGCAGACATCAACCGAGTCAACTAAAACAGTTATCCATGTGTTTGAGGGCCGTCATGTGTAGACAGCAGTTGAACTGGACAGGAGCCTTTGCCTGTTTTTCCCCACGGAGGCGATGACCTGCCGGGTGTTGCCAGAAGTAGGTCCAAGAGCCCGAGGGCGTTTCAACCATCTCACGTCCTCCAAGTCAACAACAACCAAACGGTGACTCAAGCCATCCCACAACATATTACGCCACTCACTGTCGCCATGGACAACTCTATGTGATCGGAGCACGGCCAGAGCTTTGTCGCGCTCCATTAACCAGGACTTTGCAGATTTCTATTTCAAAATGTAAATTGAAGACCTCTGATTGAGTTGATGCACGGCGTCAATTTCGCTGTTTTTCGTTTCTTCCGATCTATTCTTGCTTTGGTTCTATCCGTCAAGGGATCATTCGAAGTCCTAAGGATAGAATTTTTTCTTTTTATGGGGATGTAATAATGACTGGAGTATTCTCCAAATGTTTAGCATAAAGATTACATAAAGTCTTCTAGCCGAGACGTATTGCGAAAGTGTGGAATGTTCTCGAAAGCTCCGCATAGTAAATCCTAAATTCTAATAATAGCCGGCAAGATCATCCTTGATTTGGCCCAACCAGAATTATGACATCAGCTTCGTGAGTGAATCTATGACTCTGCAGCAGTATTGGCAGCTGCTTGAGATCTCTGTTCAAAAGTAGTGTCTCCCCCAACTGGAAAAACCCGCCCCAAACTAGAGTGTCATTCCCAACTCGCAATTCTCATTCCCATTCCGAATGAATTGAGCTGTTGTGGTAAGAAAGCTCATGAGATGGACAGGGAATTAGTAATAGCAACCATTGTGCGGCTGGACACTCTATTGAATCTGCTGAGCGGTTTGGTGAAAAACGACAACATCGGAAAAAGAAACCCAGCTGTACCGCTGGGCCTGTTTCTGAAGGCAGTCATACTTCCATGTTGTCTGATTGCTCCCCTCAAAACCAAAACATCCTTGGACGCGCCATTTTCACAGTTCAGTCTGATGGATTGAAACCAGCTTATTTCTTCACCTTTATGCCGGAGCCGGTACTAGTACCATTCCCACAAGATCCTCACCATCGCTGTGGGAAGCATGATCGATCGAAGTCGGTTGGACCTCCACCCAACATTTTGGGAAAGCCACGATTGTACTCGTCCGAGAACAATGCACTTTTGGTGCGGCTGAAGGAGCGAGAGGGAATGTCTTGGTCGGAGATTGCTCAGCACTTCCCTGGTCAAAATGTTTCATCACTTCAAGTGCATTATTCAACTAAATTACAAAATAAGGCCGTCACTTGTTCGCGAAATCCACGAAGACGCTGAGAGTGGAAATCTTGGCATCATTTTTCTTCACGTCCTAATCGCGAGAAATCCAGTGAGTCAAAGATGGCACAGCTTGTCTCAACTGGATTCCTTCATTCTAGAGGTATCATCAAGCTGTACCTTTTTCACACCTCTGTATCTTGCTTTACACACAAAATGACGACAAACGTGGGAAGTATCTAGCACCAGCAATCAGATAGAGCCAAGTCGCGATGTCAGCAACACAACCAACAGCAGGCCCAACCTGTTCCTGAGAGCCTCTGAGTACTGGCTTGAGTGCCATGTGGATAGATGCTCAGAACTGCTTTATGTATATTTTTCGCTTCTGACAACGCTACTGTATGATACAATCAATTAATTTAAGAAACCAACCGTCTCCCCCGGAAACTGTTGGTATTGATCATTTCCAGGACCCGACGGCCCAACCAAACACCATGGCCACATCAACGGGCTTAGCCCAAAGCAAAGCGATTTGGGAGTGATGATGGATTGCTAGTAGCTAGCTAGGTGAAGAATAGTTGTTGGAAAGGATCCAGCTATCTCGGGATCCTTATCGGGGACATCTATACGAGGTCCCTGGTGATCTATCACTTCGACTTCTTGATAGATCATTTCTTGGCCTTTCCTTCCCCTTCTATATAGCCTCAGAGATATCCGTTCATTAGATAGTTCTCCAGACAAGAATACACTCCCATTCAAGGCATTATCCTCTCAGAACGCTCCTTTCTAGCCAACAATAGTTGATTTGGGTGTGTTGACGGGGTATTGTGGTCCCCGTTCTGGCTGTTTATACTCGTTGCTTCCCGTTCGCGTTGCGTGGGAGGGAAGAAAAAGGAAGCACGACAAGCAGAACACTCCGACTACCGGAAGGAGCTCCTCTAATACTTATGGTAGGCACTGCTATTACTTGGTTATTAAGTACAGGTACAAAAGACATGTCTGCTCAGCATTCATTCTATGCAAGTGGCTCAAGATATACTACTATCAACAATCTTTTAAACAAACTGTTCGGATATTTTAGATTGAAGATAACTTTTATGGTTTCTCTCTGTTGGTCCAGTGTAATTTATCTCCAGCTTCGATCATGTGCCTAAATTCTGAGCTTCACACATCTTTGGATAGAGCTTGCCCTTGACCAGTAGCTGCTCATGGGTGCCAGCTTCCACAATCCTTCCACCATCAAATACACAGATAATATCCGCATGCCGAACAGTCGACAACCGGTGGGCGACTGCAATCGTGATTCTATCCCCCTGTGAAGTTGCCTCATTCAGCGCATCTTGCACAATTCTCTCCGACTGTGTGTCTAATGCACTTGTGGCTTCATCCAGTAGCAGCAGGCGTGGGTTACGGAGAAGCGCCCTGGAGATCGCAATACGCTGCCGTTGCCCACCAGAGAGCTGCGTGCCATTGCTTCCACAGAGGGTCTGGGGGCCATCGGGCAGCGAAGAGATAAAATCCCACGCGTTGGCTGCTCGGCAGGCAGCTTCAATGTCTCTGTCAGAAACCGTTGATACGTCTTCTGTCGGCACCCCCATGGAGACGTTTTCGCGAATAGTGCCGGGATAGAGAGTGGGCTCCTGCTGTACAAGGGCCACCTGATCCCGGTACAGCCGCGGGTTGATAGAGTCCAGTGCCGTGGAGTCAATCTTGAGGTGTCCGACTACTGGGTCGTAGAAACGCTCGAGCATGCCTATCATGGTACTTTTTCCACAACCGGATGCGCCAACGAATGCCACAAATTGCCCTTTCTTGATCTGCGCAGAAGATGTTAGTCAAGTGAATTGACACTCTAGCGGGAAATTGGTAAGAAGAGAAATGGTGAGGCAAGAGAGAAAACGGAACATGAATTGGGCTGGCTTACCTTAAGGTCAACGCCACGGAGTACGTGGGCATGGGGCCTCATTGGATAAGAGAATTGAAGCTTCTCCAGGTCGAGGGATTTGAAGTCGCTGGGGCCGATGTGGCAATTCTCATCAGTTTCCCGGATGGTGGGTTGAAGCTGCTCAAGCCAAAATATGTAGTTGGCCGTATTTGTTGCCTTCGTCATGCCTAAACAGCTGTTAGCAGCTTGCATTATGGATGTGCTGGACCAATCGCCTTACTGCTCGAGAAGCCAAAGAGCACTGAAGCTTGCTGACCAGAAAAGAATACACTCAAGAATGAAATGAAGAAATTCACCATACTCAAGTCTCCAAATGAGACCAGCCGGCATCCATACCTACCCGAAGAATATCCCAGGGTTAGCGTCAAGTTCAAAGACAGTGCTTTGCGCGGAATAAGGAGAGAATATGGGGAAGTTAGACGAACCAGAAGCCAAGTGCCAGGAAGCAGTACTCAGCACTCTGAGTAAATGCAAAAGGGAGCATGATGAGAAGCATTGGTTTGGCGGAAGCCGAAATTGCATTATCTAACTCTTGAGTGTATCGCTCCAAGACTGACTTCTCTATAGCCAAGGAAGATACCGTTCTAATGGCATTCACTGCTTCCGAAGCAATTGACGCGCTCGCAGAAAATCTTTTCGAAATTTTGTGATCCATTGCGGCCTCCATTCTAAGACGAGCATAGCCGGATGCCAGCATGGGTGGAAGTCCCGCTAAGACGATAACAAGGCCGAGTTTCCATGCATGAACCAAGGCAAGAATGCAGCAAGCCAATACACTCATGACTGCAATGAGTATCAGAGCAACATTGAAACCCATAAGCTCAAATACAGCTTGTGGATAGGAGTCTGCTCGGCTTGTCAGGGCGCCTGTGCTGTTTTCAGCACGATCAAAGAATTGCAGGTCTTGCTTGAGGATGTCGTTGACAATTTGTTTTCGGTATTTGTGATTTAGTGTCTTGCATGGAATCAGTCAAGGCGAAATCTAGCCAGGAATTGCGTGCATCGTCCTACCTGTGCCACAATGTTGGATGACCATCCGACGACGAAATAAACAACGAGAGAACCGAGTCCCAGCACGAGAAACATAAGGGCAAAAAAGTTTCCTTTTTCCTGCATTTTTGCTCCAGTAAACTGGAATACCTCAATGAACCTGGACATCAAAATAGCTTGACCAGGATATGAAGCAGCTACCATTCGATTAGCGTCAGTCTCCAGAAGTCTTGCCCCAACACACGCCAGTCTTACCTGCTCCCAAGCATCCTAATACCAGAACCAAATAAGTCCACGTAAGCTCGGGGGTCGATTTTATCAGTCGCCAAACTGTGTGGAGAAGTCCTATTCTTTCCCAATTGTCGAAATCATCCCGACTAACCTGCTCCTCCAAAAGTCCTCTTGTCGACGTTGAGTACCGAGTTAACTCACCAGTAAATCCACCCGGCTTTTTCTCATCCGTATCCTCCACGCTGTCTGAAATACCTCCAGAATCTGGCGAGGGCACGGAAAGATCCTGAGCTTGCACCAGTCGCGCATAGGCACCATTGGATTCCAGGAGTGAGCTGTGCGTGCCTTGCTCAAGAATACGGCCCTTTTCCATAACTACAATATTATCAGCACCCTGTATGGTGGCCAGCTTGTGTGCAATAGTGATTGTTGTGCGTCCTTGCGAGACGTTGTCGAGAGCCTGCTGAACAATTCCTTCCGCGTGAGGGTCAAGTGCGCTGGTTGCCTCGTCGAGAAGAAGAATTCGTGGTTGTGAGACAATGCTTCGAGCAATTGCAACTCGCTGTTTCTGGCCACCTGATAACAACCCACCTCGCTCTCCAATTACAGTGTCATAACCATTTGGGAGGGCGGTAATAAAATCATGGGCAAAGGCAACTTTGGCGGCTTCTTGCACTCGAGCTAGTTTATTGGGTTGCGATTCGTTCTCCCACGGCGCACCAATAAGGCCGTTTGCAATGTTTTCGAAGACAGTACCCGCAAATAGCACAGGCTCTTGCTGAACAAGCCTAACCTGCTGCCGCAGCCATTTGAGGTTAAGCAAGTCGATGGGTTGGCCATCAAGGTTCACTGTTCCTGACAATGGGTTATACCACCGCTCGATCAGTCCGATGATGGTACTCTTTCCAGACCCGCTTGGTCCAACGAGGGCCGTCGTTTTGCCAGCAGGAATATGCAGCGAGAAACCATTCAGCACTGTGACACCAGGGCGCGTGGGGTAGCTGAATGAGACGTGGTCAAACTCAACATTGCCTGTCACCTCCGTCGGCTTTTGTCCTAAATTGCCGAAGGGATTGATGATTGAAGTGCGATCCATGAGCCGGAATAGCCCTGAAGCTGCTGAAGCAGCGCGGGTGAAGTCAATCAGGTACGGCGCTATGGCGGTCAAACTTGACGCAGCCACAATCACCGACATGAGCACACTGCGAGTATTATGATTAGAATTATATCGATAAGGGTCAAGACCAAACTTACATGAAAACATCACCCGGGTCTTCAACCTCTCCGCTGGCTATCATCCCAATTCCCTGCCAAAAGCACAAACCGAATCCCGCATAGATAATGCAATACTCTGCAGAGAACAAGCAACCAAATAGCGGACTCTTCTTGTTTCCGAGATTTCGTGAAGCTTGCAAAAACTTAGTATCGAAATCGCCCACCAGTCGCGATCGAAGCCCAAAGGCGTGGATCGTCTGGGCACTCGACAAAATACTCTCTGCAAAACTTCCGGCTTGCGCGTGAATATTGAGGATTTTAGTTTCAATAGAAGCCTCAATCGTGGAGCTAGCCCCCATCACGAGAAGCGTGGCCGGAGCAATGCAACAGCAGATGAGAGTCAGCTTCCATTGCGTGACGAATGCCAGCACAAAGGCAGATATGAAGGCGGACATCCCCTGGACCACGAGCCCCAGCTTTTCTGATATCCCGGCCTGGATGAGTCGCCCGTTTGATGTAACTTGCATGGCAATCGATCCGCTGGTTCCACCGTCAAAGAAGGCGATTTCTTGACTGAGGCCTGCTTTCAGATATAGGTGGCGTATATTTCTCGTGATCCGGTACGCGGCAATCGTGAACAATGTACTGTATCCATAGGTGAGGACAAATCGCCCAATGCCAATAATGAAGAAGTAAAGACTGCTCTCGGATTAGCCCGCTGTCCGCCGCTATAAAGCCAGTTCATTGCACACATACCCAAGTCGGCCGGCGTCACTGCGAAAGGTGGGAGCGTCCGAGTTGCCCGCAATATAGTCAATGATGAGCGTGATGAACTCACCAAAGACAAGGTTGACCAGCGCCATGCCAACGCCAGAACCAAGTGCACAGGCAGTAGCAACAAGTTGCAGCACATACTCACTGGATGTGCCATACTGAAAGATTCTCTGCCGAGCATTAGACTCTCCACCTGCAATGAGAGGGTGGTGAATGTGCTTACCACATAGCCACGAAACGCACCGGCCTCTTTCTCCTGATTCTCATCGATGGATGGTTTCTCTTTCTCTGTTTCAATACTCATAGTGGAAGTCGGTCCCTAAATCCTGGGAAGTTGAACGTAGAACCAGTGCTGGCTTGGTTCATGCAACGGCGAGTCTGTAATAAATAGAGCATGAGGCACGCCACTCTAAAATACATCGTTCTGTTCTCCTTTTATTCATTTCCTTTTGAAGACTTGGTGCTTGGTCGGAGATGCGGAGCTCTCGGGACGCGAGCTCAGGAACTGAGCGACGGAGTCCGCGGTCCCCGAGACATCTTCTAACGATTTTGTCCTAACTTTCACTTTCTGACCAGGCAAATCTTCACTTCTTGCTCTGAATTTCACACCTCCCCGTGCAAACATGCCTGAGGACCATTCCACTGTTGATGCTTCCCCCCCACCACCACATTCGGCGCGAGCGGTAGGAGCTTCAAGTTCCCCATTCCGTCCGGTTGCCAGAACGTTAACTGACCCGATTATTTCTCAGTGTGATCGATGCAGAAGGCGAAAAGTGAGGCAACGTATTTTGTACCATCCGAAGGCCCAGCTCACCTTCTTAGATACGTTGTGATAGAACCTCGCCTTGTTCCGGTTGCCGAAGTGCGGGAACAGAATGCAAGGAATCAGAACGTGCTTCCAGACAGAAGCGGACACGGGTCTTAATATCATCCCAATAGTAGGCTAAACAAAGTCCTCAGACAAGTCCACTTACTCATGACGCATTCCTGGTCAGCGAGAAGAAAATCGATCTTATCGACAAACGACTTAGTCGCCTCATAGAAACGCTTGACGCGGACAATCTGGCTAGGTCGACGGGCACTATTATGCCGCCTTCTGTCTGTCACCAAGGTAGCTCCTCCCCTCCACCATCTTGCAACAGGCCACCGCATAGCGCGGTGGCGAGTCCGACGGCTGGAGACGGACCCGACCAAAATAGCCAATCATCCAATGACCAAACCAAGGCGCCCCCAAACAGCGTCGCGGATGATGAGATGGCGGTAGTTGAAGGAAAATCTTCTCTGACAGCGCATTCTACATTTGCTATTGATTTCGTGCAAAACATCGTCGGCTCGTGTCAAAGGATGGGAGGCTACGAGATCAGTGAGTTATTGAACACGCTGCGCTGTATCGGAGACGCATTGAAGAACCGGCGCCTATCATCTAAGCCTTGGTTCCCATTAGCACAGCCGGGATATGAGATGCCTCCTCTGAAGGCTGCTGTTAAAGTAATACAAAAAGCACAAGGTATTTCTTGCGCCTTTACATTTTGTCCAGCGGCCCACCACCAACGTGAACTAATTGCTTATATTAGATGAAAGGAATATCGCGTTCCTTTGTATCCATAAGCTTCTCAGCCCGCGAAGTATGTCAGATATATGTCTAAAGGTCTACTTTTCTTCGGAATATTCCGATGCGGAGTTCATCATTGTCAACGCAGTTCTAAATTGTGGGTATATCAATCTGGGACACAAGACTCAGACTAATAGAATTGGCAGCTCTGGCTTCCGACACAGATAATGGACAGAATGATATTGAAGCGCATGATGAACGTAATAGCCTGGTTTTCATGTGTCGAAAAAACCTTGAGACGGCTCTTTCAAGACTGTCTCTCTATATCAAGGCCAGCTACGACATAACCTTGGCTCTTGTTCTAGGGGTATGCTCGTCGACAATGAAGGCTTATTTGCGCTAACATGAAAAGTTTAGGCCATGTATGCTATTGACATTTCCAATCCATCCCTCGCATGGACATTAGTGACCGCGGCGTCCCAATGCTCTCACACCCTTGGATTCCACACACGCTCCAATGTTCCAAGTGAATTGCCATATGAGCCAGATCAGAAGCAATTACTCTTCTGGGGAGTCTATATCGTCGAAAAGAGCCTATGCCTCCGACTCGGCCGTTCGTCTACAATACCGGACTGCGATATCACGGCTCTATGGCCAGAGGGTCGGCAAATGTCAGATTCGCACGCCATTACCTATGTCTATCAGCTAGTGAAGCTTGCTGGTTTGGCCGGCAGTATCTACGAGCAGCTTTACTCAGCAGCTGCCCTTCATAGCCCTCTGGATACGCGGGTATGTCGAGCACTCGAACTGTCGCAGGAGCTTCATGGGTATTGTGCGGAGGCAAATAACACAAATGTCTGTTCTCCCCAGCTTCTTACTCACATTTTTCAACATGAAACATATAGTGTGGCTAATGCATATTTCGCTGTTTAGCAACTCTGGATGCAATCAACTACTGATGTTCGTGATCGAGAACAAATACGATTTATTTTCACGTCTGACGAAGTTCTGCGCCTTTCTATGTTAACCCTAATCTACAGAGCTATGCCACCCCAGCGTAATTATGGAACTGCCTTCAGCGAGGAGTGTATTACCTCTGCCAGATGTGCCCTGGAATCCCACCATATATGTATACAGGATATCGGGATGAAAGGCTCGTTGCTACTATCTGTATATGTCAACTGGTATGTTTGAAAGGTCCTTGTCGGTAATAAGCCCCTTGATCTACAGTACTCACTCACGCTTTCGCTTCCTCCTAGGACAATTTTGTTTGCGCCTTTCATCCCCTTCATTGTGCTATTCTGCCACACCGTCGAAACAGCGGACAAGGGGGACTTGAGTCGAATGCACACCTTCGTCAAATCTATCGAATGTACCTGCCAGCATTCTACCGCCATTGCCACGCATTATCGCCTCTTCCAGATGTTCTACGGTGTTGCGGTGCGCTATAACGAGCTGAAATCATCACCGTCCTCATTACAAGAAGAACAAGTACAACTCCGAACTGAGGTTGACGCGCATCTGAGTGCCCTTGGTCTACAGCCCCACGTGGCATATGCGACTGGTCACCATGAAAAATCCAGCGTTGTTACTGAGCAGAATCGGAATTTGGGGGGAGATGGTTGGGCGCAGCAAGGTCTGTCATTGGGGAATTGGTTTTCTTTCAATCAACAGATGGTGGATTTGTTGGATCATAACGATTTGCCATTCTGACCAAGTTCTTGGTTTCTAAATGTAAAGGTTAAATCCATCATTCCGGGTATACTTCTACTTTCAAAGACATCGTGTCTAGTATTTTGGTAGCCACTCACGGCGTATTTTATCAAGAGAAGGCATGGTCTATATGGCACGCTGTATGTAGCACATCTCCAGAGTCTTGGTCGTGGTACTAGTACTCGGCTTTTCCTGTCGTACCACCAACTGCCGTAAAGCAGGTTGAATTTAGTGTATAATTTTTCTGTGCCTAGGCGGATTAGGTATTAGAAAGAGACGGGAATAGTCTACCGTATACGGAAGCCACCATTTCCGCGCCGAGCCATCACCATCGCATCAGAAACAATTACTGTGGGAAATTGATAATATGACAGCCTACATTAATCTATATTTGGCATATATCCTATGTAAATACACCGACAGTGGATCCATCACCATTGCCAGCGGACTGTGCTGAGTTCCCACTCCGTGCTTGATAGCGGCGTGACGGAGGCTTCGGGACGCGAAAAGCGGATGTTGCGGAGCGGAGTGAGCATCCCCCCATGTCCGGGACTTCGAGGAGGTGGAGAAATATTGAAGACAATCGGCATGCCTTCTGGAGATGGATTGTTTATATTGGCAGTCTTTGTCCGTTCGTGGAAATTCATTCTCACACTTCTTCGTCTAGCTCATCACGTCTGTGTTAGTGACAATCCTAATCGCAAGTCTCAGCTACCACTACCAGCAAACTCAGTATTGGCCAAAATGATCTCTGAATTGACTATCAGCGTCCTGGAGTCTCCTCTTTTTCGGATTTTCATAATCGGAATTCTCATAAAGCTTCTATATGAAGCTGCCTGTGGACCAGGACTTTATCCCGGGTTTCCTGCAGCCGGCATCGACCCAAAGGATGGTTATTCTCGGGGACTTTCCAAGGCTCGGGAGAATTGGTTTGCCCATGGGAAGGAAATCCTTGACCAGGGCCTGAAAAAGGTATGTAAATCTGTGTCTTTGAGCCGTGCGGACTGTGCTGTGACTGACATATCCGTAGTTTGCGGGTTGCTTCCAGGTCTTCACAGAAGTTGGACCTAAGATTGTGCTACCCAATCGATTTGCAGATGAGATACGCAACCACCCTGGTTTGCATTTTGGCAAAGCCATATCTGCTGTACATTGCAATATAACTCTTTGTTTTCGGACGGGGCTGATAGTGCGATTAGGAATTTTTCGGGTCATATCCTGGATTCAAGCCCTTTGCCGCAGGCGACTCGTCCCAGGTTGTTGTGGACACCGTGAAAGGCAGGCTCACGCAGTCACTCAGTTAAGTTTTCCCTCCAACCATCAATGCCAGATCAGTGCTAATGTTTCTTTCCCGTGCTACAGACCTTATTACAGAGGAGCTAGCAGACGAGACATCCAAGGCTGTTGGTGACCTCTTTGGTGAGCCGGAAAGTGAGTGACTTCTTAGACCCCGGGCAGAATGCAGTCTGTCAGTCTCTCTTTATTATCCTACGGGCTAACCAAACCATCACAGCTTGGACGGAAATCACATACAAACCGAAGCTTCTGCAACTTATTGCCCGTATTTCATCACGGGTCTTCATCGGCCCAGAGCTGTGTACCAACGAAGAATGGCTGAGCATCAGCAAGGAGTACACCGTGGATTCATTCATCGCCGTGCGCGCCCTGCGACTGTGGCACCCGTCCCTGCGTCCTATTGTTCATTGGTTTCTACCAGAATGTCGCAAGCTCAGGGCGACCCTCAACCAGGCGCGGAGAATCATCAACCCTGTTATCGAGAAACGCCGGGAAACCAATCGTCAGGCCCACGAGGCTGGACAACGTCCTTCCAAGATGGCAGATACCATCGGTTGGATGGATGAGGCGGCCCAGGGACGACCGTACGACGTGGCCACGGCCCAGCTTGGTCTCTCGCTTGCAGCCATTCATACGACGACGGAAATGGTGAGCGGTCTCATCAGCGACCTCTGCGCCAACCCCGAATATTTTGAACCTCTGCGTAGTGAGATCATCGCAGTCTTGGGAGACAAGGGCTGGTCAAAGAGGGCGCTACATGATTTGAAACTTATGGACAGTGCAATGAAGGAGTCACAAAGACACCACTTTGGTGATATTGGTGAGTTCGTCTTTGCTGAACTGTCAAACCCAAACGAAATCGCTAACAGGCCATATTCCTTCACCAAGCCGCAATGCATCGAATTGCTGAAAAGTCATTCACGCTGTCAGATGGTACACAAATCCCCCGAGGGGCTTTTACTATGGTTAGTATCGACAAAATGCACGACGAAGGTCTATTCACCGAACCAGACAAATACGAAGGCAGCCGGTTCCTCAAGATGCGTCAGCAACCTGGGCATGAACACCGTTGGCAATTCGTCTCGACCTCACCCGAGCATCTCATCTTCGGTCATGGCAAGCACGCTTGTCCTGGACGATTCTTTGCTGGGAATGAGATTAAGGTTGTGTTGGTCTTCCTGCTAATGAAGTATGATTGGAAGTTCACTTCTGAGGGCCGCAAAGAAGACAATGCTTTTGGCCAGGAGGTGGATACAGATCCAACTTCCAAAGCAATGATCAAAAGGAGGAAGGAGGAAATTGCTTGATGATATTTTGCACTGCAGCTTGGCTCGCTCCAACTCCTGGGCAATACCCATAATAGCCAGTTTTGGGAAATCAACCACACTCTCAGTCTAGGCTACAATAGAATATCATCCCCACCACAGATCTCTCGGTAAATGAACCAGACAGGCTGTCGCAGTAATTGCCAATTTATCTATTACTTCTTGCAGTTCGCGAATCATGTCCCTCATGTGTAACAATCTTATAGAGCTGTTGGCTTGATGAAGACAGTCTCCTTATTGTAGGGTTTAGGTACTGAAGTGAAACTGGTAGTAACATTTTACAAGACCTGTACACTCATAGTTTATTATTGATGACTTGACTGCAGCTTGGTCTGATTCACTGCCTGACTCTCCCGTCCTAAACAATACAGGTTTAAGCAGTTTCATGGAAATTGATGCTAGCCAAGTCTTAGTGGTGCAGAGGCATCAGACTGTAGAGAGAAGTAAAGAGTCATGACCATAATTCCCCATTCCATTGATGATGCCATCTCTTTGTTGAGTGGGGTAAGAGGAGATGACAGTCAAAAGCACTATGAAGAGAAATGGATGCTGGTGAATCTCTAGCATGGTGCGTTTTATTGAGGCTACCTTATGTAGGCTACTCACCCCTCTGCTCAGTCCCTACTCAGTGATCAGCTCAGGCTGCTCAGGGCGTGCTCAGAAGCAAATCGTGGGTGTACAGTACAAAGGGGAGTCTGTTTGCGGGTCCAACTGTATCTCTTCCCTAGATCTTAGCCTGTCTCTTCGGAAGATGCAGACTCTTGATAACTTCTTTCCATTCCGACGGAAAGCTAGATTTCTCACTCGTAGGGCGCTCTTTCCATCCCTCAGCAATCCGAGCCTCATCCTGCTGCCAACGCTGAAGCTCTTGCTTGATCCATGGACCCATGGTTTGCGCAGTATACGCCACCTTTTCCTGCGGCAGAGTATGGCCTGCCTTCTGGATCATCACATACGGCACACGGCCAGCTTCCATACCACCACTGCCGCCAAACCCAGTTCCTGTCCGCTTCGCGGTATCTGCGTGCTCGCCTCCCTTGCCGAGTGGACTGTGCGAGGCACTCACGTAAAGCACTGAAGGCCGAATATGCGGTACCAATTTATATGCCAAGATCGATTCTGGATGATAGGATCGCTGACCCGGACGTAATGGACCCAGCATGTCAGGAACCAACAGCGGGTCATGCGGTGGGCGGGCCTCGCTGGACTTGGGGTCCGTGTAAGCCTGGTTCTGGGGGACTCCTAATTGGGTGTGCCGCTTGAAATTTGGTCGAGTGTACATTGTTTTCTTCGTGTTTGGTCGTGGTCAAGGTCACCGGGCAAGAGCCATCTGTCGGTCCTTCTGGATAAACCGCCGTGGGCAGTGCGCGATATCCGAACTCTTTCCAGAGCTGGAACACGCGCGGGTTCCACGCTTTGAGAAGATTGCGATACTGTATGGCGGCGGCTTCACGAGAAGGCCACACGTCGCGCTTTTTAGTCGACATAGCCACGAACAACGGACCGTCCCCGGCCAAGGGGTTGTCGGTAATATGCGGCTCAATTAGTACTAAAGAAGCGAAGAGCCGGGGATGTATCAGAGGCAAAGACCCTATAGGAGGTTAGCAGTGGTGCGTACGAGGCCTGAGGAGAAAATTGCCTACAGCTGTGTGGCATCCAGGCTATGACCCACGCCCATAATAGGTCGTGGCATCTGATCGCGAAAATGATTGATCATATGGATCACATCGCGGCTATGGTCATACCAGGAAGCTGGAATGTGTCAGCAACGTGAGATAACTTTAGTTAGTCGGTCCCTTGATTCATCTACGGTCATTTCCGAGATTTTTCTCGTTAATGATACCACTGGCGCCCTGGTTGGCGGCATCCGCTATCCAAATTGAACAAACTCCATCCTGTTTGGAGTGGGCTAGCAGCTCTTCCCAAAGAGGCTCATATAATTCCTGCACCGCACGATTAACCCATTTTGCGTCCTTCACGAGGTCAGGGCAGGAAAGAAAATACCTTGGGAATTCCAGTGCCATGAGTAGCCACAATCGTGACATCTCCTTTTTGAGGGTCGGGTTGTTCACCGGGGTATATTGCTTGATACAAAGCTTCAAGGGGGCGTCGGGAGTGGCTGTGGCTCGGGGATATTCTCGAATGTACTGCCCGTCGATAACATGTTCAGCGATGTGGAAGGGAAAACTCATTTTGGTAGAAATTGGCGCCGGCCGCAGCGAATGAGTCGTACACTCTACAGGCCAATGGGGGATAGATTTTCCGGGTTACTTTCATGCCGGGCATACCGACGAATATGGACACATGTCAATGTTCCACAGATTAATCGGATACGAGCCCAACCCAATTGGATGGAACACATAAGCCCACAGCCATAAGTCACAGAATGAGCAAAATAAATGACTAAAGCAGCAGCTGGAATCTTAGCTATGAGGCGCTCCATGCCTTTTGTTGGCTCTCAGGGCAGAAACAGAACCTTCATGATCCAAGAACAGCTTCCATCCATCTCAAAATGAGCATGGACATGAGAGATTGTCTAGCATTTTGACCCTTCTGATTGGTATATCAATTGTATCGTGAATGTGCGCCGTTGTTAAATTGATGCTCTCTTCCTGATTTTGCTCAATGACTTTGACGTTATGAGCACCAAGAGTGTGCAGTGACTTAGCGTTGCTTTGTAGAAAGTTTTCCACAAAGACTCGCTTCGCATAGATCGAACACAACTCTAGCCCACGTATGTTCAAACTAGCGTGAAATAATAAGGCCAAAACTGAGCCACTTCCGAGAAGCCGTAGGCTCGGTGCATGCTTCACAGCTCAGTGAGAAGAATTGTCAAAAAGCGCCAATCTGGGCTCCGCCAGGGGGTATCATCGGGAATTGAGAGATGGGTGAGTTGGATTCTGTGAACAGGTTTGCTGCGGTCCCTTACAGAACCAAGAGAAGCCAACACCAGCTGGATATGACTCTCATAGGACTTTTCCTGCATTGTCATATCATGTAGCTTTTGGTAATCTTTCACCCAGACCTCGTCCTCCAGTGTTTCACAGAATACGTTTTTACTTTCGGATGGACGTTGGAGTGACCGAGACATACAAGCAATAACTTACTACGGCGGACTGAATCATCACAGTGGCCAAAATTATACGACGCAAATACCAAAACATACAGAATCTAGAAACCGACTCCTTGAAACTAGCCTTTTATCTCTTAATAAAAAGAGCAGTAATAGTGTGGAATATTTTCTGTGTATTTTACTTTTAAAAGAATAAAATAACCTTAGTCTATTACAGAGTAAATGGGTCAAACTTCTATAAAATCTTAGTAACAATGATGGTTCTTTAATTAGATACTACTCGGACAGTTTATAGTAAGACAATCCTTTTAATTGGTCATTCTATGTACAAATTCTCTGGTTTCAGTCTTGTTCTCTCCTTCGATCAACTCGTTGTTTCTTATCTCGCTTATGGCGAAGAACCAGTAGTGCTTCCAGTGTTGGGAGCCAAGATTAGCAGTGGTGGTTGGGAGATGGTAAATAAGCGGCGGCAAGGCTTCTTGGCAGCCACATGCATGGTCTCCTTCTCGCGTCGTGGATCTGAAGCATTCTTAAAATCTTCGGGCGTTATGCTCTCAGTTAGAGGATAATGTTCTGCCTGTTATTTTGATCGTGTTAGCTTTAAATATGCTTGCCAACTTTCAAGCAGACGCTTACCACTTCTTCAGCATGGGGGATCCAAGCAATGTCAGGATGAGAGTTGTATGTAAAATATCATCCCTGCCTGTTCTGACCTTTACTTTTTTCAAAAAAAATAAGACATACACTCGACGTTCGCGACCAGTATCAAGCCCATCCAGGTAAAGGTCATGAGTCTTTTTACAGACAGCTCTCCTTCCTCGGTGGAACCGTTCTTGTTCAGCTTTTGCTTTTTTCTTTATATCATAAAACCGACCACGTGCTCAGCGTTTCTCTCACCAAGGGGTTGGACTCTGGCGGCTGGCGGGCATGCTCAAGTTTTTGGGATACAAAGAGTGAAATAGAATAGAATAAAAAGGGGATTGTCTGTAATTATCCAAAAAGAAAGACAACTTCTGACTATTTATCTCTCTAATGTCTTTCAGAGAGCCATGGTTTTTGCTCAGCGGTATTGCTATTTTTGAATCCGCATTACAAACATGAGTCTTGAGTAATAGAGCCCATGGATTTACATCTATCCTTGAAAGTGTTGCTTCCTCCTATGGTATAATTAGGAGCAAAGGACAATGCAAGACGGAATGATGCGCCTTTTCCGTTCTCATTTTCCTAAATTCATTCTTTCCTTGGTCAATGTCCTAGCTTTCCTTGCCCAATGGCTGTTCTTGTTATATATACCTACGTTGCCGCTGGCATTCTGTTTCTACTTGTTTTACAAAGATATGTCTTACATGTCTTCAAGTTTTTATTCAATTCCCGTCTGTTTGTCCTGTTCTCCAGGCATCTAATGCTTTTTTACCTTTTCCATCGCCGATGTTCCTGGGGGCCCATTAGTTGGCTGTGTGCCGGTTTGCACATACTGCATAGTGGGACCTTAACATGCAACATAACTGGGGTTCATGATATCTCTACAGCTCATTCAAGAGCTGGGACACTTGCTGTTCTCCATCTAATACCTTTGCTTTTTGTACATAATCTTAGCCTAGCAGCTGAGATCTTTGGGTTCTCTTTGTCTGTATACCATCATTTTCATCGTGCTCTAGGGTGGATGACCATCCTGCAAGTGACACTCCATGTCATTTTTGCCCTTTACAAAACGACCCTTGATTTGAATGATCGTGCTCAACGGCATGGCTTCATGGTTAGAATTGCTTTGTTCATATAACTTCAGTGTTGACTTGGCTAACGCTCATTTCCAGGCCGCCCTTGCGCTTGTTGTGATGCTTATGATCATATTACCTTGAGTCCGCCAGTGGTTATTTGAGCTGGCCTTAAAAGGCCACGTGCTTCTTGGTCTGTTCGTCATCGTCCGTACGGGCCCTGCGGGTGAAGGCCAGTGAGACCTCTCTGGAGCCGGTATTCGGGGGCTTATTGGCTCTAAGTTCGTTTTCAGGAAGTGGTATACGTTACATGTACATACAAGGATATATATAGTTGTGGTAGCCTGCATATCGCTTAATTGTGAGAGGTCGGGGTAAATGAAATCATCCATCCATCCATCCATTTATCCATCCATACTGTACTTTTAGAGGTTCTTTTGCACAAAGAATGGAAAGTCCTGGATTTTGATTATTCCTGAAATTCCGTCACTACTCTTCTATTTTCTAACATGGTAGTGATCTGTCTTGCCATCAAATCCCGTCTGGATCGGCGTTGGTAAAGGTTGGGTCTGTCTCCCTAGATTTCCCTAGATTCCGGTGCCCTTTTTGCTTGCAGGCGTTTGACGTGCTCGATAGTCCGGTGCGGTGCAAAGTGAATTATGTCTAGGTCCAGACACTTGTGAATCATTCTATTCCATCTAATAGAGCGTGCATCCTAAATTGACAATCTTCCTAACCAGGTCAGAACCCATTTCAGAGAATCTATCCAGAATATTCCCAAAACGACGATTCTCGGCCAGCGTTCGTGCTTCGAAAGCAGCATAATGGATAACCAAATCTCTAAGGGAGCACCCAATATCGGGATCTCCTCTCCCAGACTCTTGGTAGGTGTACTCAAGCAAATCAAGGATATGAGGAACGTTCTGCTTGTTCAGCGAAAATTTGCAAAGATCGCAGTGTAGCGATTTCAAGCATTGTGTCTGCAATGAGTTGACAAGATATCAGTTTGTGAAAACGTAAAGCTTGCCATGGAAAACCAGGTCAGGGGTTAAAGAAATGGAAGCCTCATCACCAACAAAGTGCAGCTGTCTGAATTGCTTCCACAGTCCACCATATGGATATTGAACATAAGTCTCATGGGTCTTTACCTTGGACAGTGGAATACCATAAGCAACTTTTTTATTAAAGCTGATCCATTCTTTCTTCGTTGTGTGCCAACTGTTCATACGGACACGACTTGGTTCGGGCTCGGGTGACGGGCCTTAAGTCCCACTCTTGAGCTGGCATTTCCTCTGGCTCGAGTTCGGGTACACGGTGGAGGCCCCATTATTGAGCCGATGCTAATTCTGGCTCAGCACCAGACGCATATTGTTCTGCATAACGTTGGCTGGACTCAGCATCGGGATTGTCCGAGGCCAGTTCACTGTGTACTCGACCCTGATGTTCCTTTTTTGCGCCATCGAAGCTGCCAGATTCGCCATCATTATCTTCCCCTCTGCGGTCAGGTGTTGTATATGCTCCTCGGTAGGCGAATTCGCAGAATCCGATAAATGTGCCTTCCTCTACATCGTCTAATATGGCACTTCGTTCGATGGAATCTTTCATCATGCCATTGTTGATAAGGACATATAAAGGAGGAGACAAATTGCGTACAATCCCAGTGTGGACGGTCAGATGACTCTGTTCATGGCCCACGAGGAAGTGGAACTAGGACGATCGAATAATACTAGAACTATCAGTTACTGGCCGGACAACGCACAGTGGAAAGAATCTTACCTTTTGAAGTTGCACATCATGAAAAGAAAACCTGGTTTCCAGAATGATGTCACTATGAGATGAGTTTGGGTGAGTGGGCAATTTATAGAGTTGGGTATTATCATGATAGCATGAATAGTCAACTTTGAAGCGTCAGCTGTCTAATGGCCTATCAATTGCTGCCACTTGGCGCGCAACATACGTTCAGAGACTAACTCCATTTCTGACAAGGATAATCTTTACAATCCCCGCAATCACCAAATGACCAAGTCGCGGCGTAACCAAGCGAAACAACCAGAAGGCTCATGGCATGTTAGGCGATGGATTGGTTTCCATAAGGGGTGCCGGGGCAGCAAACCCAAGCCACGTAATTCACCACCAAACTGCGCCTCTGTATTCCATTTAAAATGGCCCGTTTGCCCTAAATTTTGACCAAGTACATAACTCTTCTGGCCATGTCAACCCCTCTCCAAGATCCTGTCTGGGCATTTTCCTTCATAGTTCGCGGGCCAGCGTACATCTGATAATGCATTCCGCTTGCTAGCTGATGCTTGTTCTATACTTATATATCTTTTTGTCCATCTGTATTTGTTCTCTTCGTTCACTCCGAGAAGGGCTTTTCCCCAGTCACCTGTCGGAATAATGGGTGTTGAATTCGATTACATATGCACCAAGCTTCACTCTTTATAATATAGATGTTTCAACATTTCTGATTGTTCAGGCAATGAGTGAGTTAAGAGTCCAAAAAATGCCGGCTGGGAGAGAGAAACAGACTGCCTGGCGAGTTTATGCGATTCAAATCTATCAAAGTAATACCTTGTGAGATTTCGCCAAATGGTTCATATATCCAGGAAGTGATACACAGGCAAAAGAGTACCCAGGCCAGTCGCATGGACGACCGGGGCTCTTAAAGAAAGTCTGGAGCTTGTGGGTGTTGTCAAAATGCCGCCGGAGCGTGTCTTTCCTGGAGAACCGATACTGCTTCGCTTGGGGGTGCAGATCCTCGCGTCCTAAACACACAGGACACTCAAGGCCTGTTTTGCTTTCCATGGGATAATCCTGATTGACATTCTTTTTGGCTTTCGCGCCGGCCTTGCCAAACTTGATAAGTCGTTTCATAGGTTGAGGTACATGAAGCTTGTGAAGCTCCAGGCGTAGCTCAAGGGACCGAATTCGATCTTCGAGGAACTCTTTATCGTCAATGGTGTCGGCATCTCTGTTCTTGAACTCAAGATCGGCAAGCTCCCTTCGCTCGGGCTGAATATGCGAAACATCGGCTGAGTACTTGATCGGAGTGCCTTGGAGATTTTTTTTCAATGATGTGATTTCCAACTTGGTCGAAAAACTCCTTATGCTGTGCGTTCATTGCGGAACGAAAAAGCCGTTTTCGCTTTGCCCTTATCTCGGACTGCAATTTTTTGAGATGCTTGTAATCGATGTCTTGAGCTTCTGCGGCTTTTTTGATTGAGTTGAACTTTGAAATTAAAGCTTCACGAGTCGATGCGCATCCCCGAATAAGCATTTGGAGCTCGGGATTGGTCTCAATGGCCTCTTTGCGCGCCGCGGTAAGCTCCTGTGGTGCCGAAGCATCTCGGGTTAGGCTTGCGTTGCTTGCAAGACTAATTAAAGCGTTTCTGGCGGGAGTCTGCATGAATACAGACTGGGTGTCGTCTCTCACGGAAACATAGTGGGCAAATGTACCCCCTTTTTTATGGCCCATGATGATATTCCGAGAATATTCGTCAAAATGCCCTGTGAGAGATTAATAATTAATATCTCCCCTAGCAACCTCAAGTTGGCATTCCTTACTAAGATTTGCAGCCGCTCCTTTGCGGTATTTGTAAAGTGAGCCTTTTTCCTTGAAACCTGCACAGGCGCTTGCAGCTTTCTCGTATTCCTGTGCCTGAGTATATCTGTAGGCGCCCACTGGATCAGTGACCCAAATTCCACTTTCATCTTTCATAGCGCGTCTGAACACAGGAATTTCTTGAACATCCTTTTTAAAATGGATAGGCGTACTGAAGCGATGGTCTGGTACATCTGTGACTCTCCAGATATCGCGAGGCGATTGAATATAAGGGCTATCAAAAGCATCATCAAGGAATGCATACATAAGTATGTCTTGAATGACACAAAGGCCCAGATTGTCGTTTCTCTCTGTGTATGTAAACACAGGTCTGTCCATCATCAGAAGGTATTAAGGCACAGTATAAGTGCTGTACTCACGACACTCCTCGGTTCCTTTTTCCCTTATTAAGTCGATGTGTGACTCTCATAAGGAGGACCTGACACTTCAGATCTTCGGGGTGTTTCACCATAAACAGCTCGATGTCCTTCCACTTCAGAGCATCGTTGCCTTTTGCGTAACCGGAAGATTCGACCAGAGTACCTGGTCGAGCCGAGGTAGATGTCATCATCTTTCTTACGGTATTCAACTGGAAAAGAGTTCGAATTGTAGGAAAGGCAATGTCGCATGCGGTCAGTAAGTGATATGTTGTGAACAACAGATCATCAATATTGACAGATGGTTGGGTTTTTCCGGTGAGATCCAGGTTGAACTCCTGAGTCAACTTGACATTCACCAACTTAAAAGTTCAGTCGGGCAATTCTCGATTGTTTAATCTGGAAAAACTCACATTAGTCAGGCCTCGCCCGATTTCTTGGGGAAGCTCCCGCCCCATCTCCTCGCGCCAATACATCCTAAAAAATCGAATAAATGTTTGAAGTCCGGATTGGTGATTGATCTCATGCTCGCTAAGGTACCAGCGCGCAAAGCCTTCAATGAGTCGAATAGTGGTATTTTCAAGCCAATGCTTATAGTCTGGGGGTTCGAGGTGCTTTGTAAAGCTGTTTACAATGTAGGATTGAGTGATCATGCTTTTTGTTTTTCTTGGATAGGCCTCGGGAAGCACCGACCTTTGGAATTGTATGGCGATCGCTCTTAGGCGTTCTCTCGTTGCTCCCGCAAGATTCCCGGTCAGCTGTGGGTCCGGTGCTTTGACGAATGCATTCACAATCAAATGATATATTCTATTCCAAGGTTGGTGGTTCGCCCGGATAATGAGAATCTCAAAAAATTTTTGAGGTTCTTAAAAGTTGTGCTTTCGTGGTGTGTTTTATACCCACCTGTGATGTAAGCGCTACTGTGCTAGATACCCTATTAAGGTGGCCAGCAACTTCATTCCTCGGGCTAGGACTTAAGCATTGAAGGCCATTGGGTGCGTAATTGGCCCAAAATCTATGGCTCGGGTGTGAAACTGGTATTGTGAGTAATATTCTCTTGGGTCTCTATATAGAAAGGAAGAGCAATCTTACTCCATGTATTGATATTTGTTTCCAATATCAGAGAGCGTTGTTTTTTTTTTTTTTTGGATAGTACCGAGCCACTGCCTAACTGAAAGGCGTCTTCTGGTGTGATAGAGGAAGTTGCAAAGCTTTCCATGTTCATATTGTCCCCTTTGTTGTCCGGTGAATCAATACTGGCTGGTTCAATTTTGATTTTTTTAGCCCCGTATGTGGACCTCTAGCACTTTCGGGGAAAAGGTTATGATGTAGGAGTTGCCAGAACAATTCAAAATGACTTAGTGGGTTCCTTTTTGTGAACTGAGGAAATGCCCCACAACTGAGCTCACCATTCTGCTGGTGATAATTGATGTGTTTTCTGGCACGTGAACTGGTGTCAATTGGTCGTTGTGTAGCTCCATAGGTGCAGAATGGCAATGGGCACAAGAAATAAGACCCATGTGAACAGGACAAGTCTTGTGCATGTTTGATAATTTCTTCTTTCTTCCAAAACCGTGATCTGCAGCCACTGAAGGGACAGAGAAAAGGAATATGCGCATCCTTATGAACATTAGCACCTGTTGGACTGGTAAACATCCGGCTACAGTTGTGCTATTTTGCAAGAGGGCAGGACCATGTTATCCCACAATGTCTCTTTCCATATACTGAAGCACTGGATGGGGACCTAAATACACTTGGGCAGCCAAATTCCTCTGCCAAGGGGCATGGCCATCTCATTAGATGTTGCTTTTTATGTAAGGAGGCAGCCTGCATTAATTTACAAATCTTTGAGCAGTTGGATTCTTTTGCAACTGGGCATGGCCAAGTCCCATGACGTGTATTATATATGCCGTCTCGCAAGATTGTGAGTTTTGAAGACACATGAACACTTATGTTGCCCTGTACCTGGGCACGGGATCTAGAGTTCTATTAGAAAATGGAATTTATAGCAGACATCTGCGCCTGGATAGCAAGCCTGCTGCGTCGTAGTCAAGCTAATAGGAGGTTTCAGAGGGAGTGAGGGAGAGTGGAGAATAAGGAGAAGGTAAAAGAGGTAAAAGGTTAGGGTAAGAAGGAAGGTTCAGCTGGAGACATTAGAAGGAGGGTATTGGGGATGCAATTGAGACGGGCTCAAGTGAGCACAAATGAGTAAGAGGAATAGGTTTAGACAATACATTTATAGCATGAAATAATAGCATGAAATAAGACGTCATTAACTTCCAAGGTTAGTGTCGAACGAGTAATGTAACCACACTTATTTGTACTGATACAGATTGTGATAGCAATTGGTATACGAGAGAAAGAGTCTATAGATAGCACAGTGAGCGTTATGAAGAAGTATATACTAGTCCTGGCTCCTTTAGCCCTGGACCAATTTTTGGTGTGTGTGGATAGTTAGTTGGTTGGATTGGGTGCCTATCGGCTCAGGCTAGCTATGTCTAACTTACTGGGCAGAAAGCGAGGGCGGTCAAACACGTGGCCCGGTGGGTACTAACACCAATGTCAAAACACGTGATTATATTACATAATCTGTGGATCTAGGTAGTTAGCAATTCCCGTGCAAACTCCGTTCATTTAGAGGAATCACCCACCATACCTACACACCTACACACCTACACACAAGAAAGATGGCGGGGAATTCGGCTAGCCTGCTGCCTGACCCAGCAACTGACTTGAACTGGAGCGATTTCAATGGAGGTAAGTAAGTGCTCTGACGTCGTGGGATCACTAGTCGAACTGACATGGTACCCCTCCTCCGCTAGCAATCCACGAAATTTTCTCGCGCAACGCCAATGAACATCCGGAGAGGCTCTGCGTTATTGAAACGAAAGGCCTGCGAACCCCCGAGCGCCAATTCACCTATAAGCAAATCAATGAGAGCTCCAACCAACTAGCCCATTTCTTTTTATCCCATGGATGCGAGCGCGGAGATGTTGTTATGATTTATGCATACCGAGGGTTCGTACACTCCACAGAATAGCACCTGCGTGGAAGAGATATAAGATATAATGTGCTGACAGGTGACAATTGATAGTGTTGATCTAGTAGTTGCCTACATGGGAGCTCTTAAGGCTGGTGCAACAGTCAGTGTGTTGGATCCACAATATCCCCACGATCGTCAGAAGACCTTGTTAGAGGTGGCCAACCCCAGATTTCTCGTTCATATTCAGCGAGCCGCCGAGGAAGCCGGTCCGGTTTCCGAATCTGTCTCTCAGTTTATCGCTTCCTCATTGAGCATCAAGGCCCATGTCCCGGCGCTTAAGCTCCAAGGCGATGGACAACTCACCGGTGGTACTAGCACTGGTCAGGACCAAGACTGCCTCCAGCCCTATGAGCCGCTCAAGCAGCAGATGCCAGCTGTCTCCATTGGCCCTGACTCAGTGCCCACTCTCAGTTTTACTAGTGGCTCCGAAGGAAAGCCCAAAGGTGTCCAGGGACGACATTTCTCCTTGACCTATTATATTCCTTGGATGCAGCAGAGATTCGGTCTTTCGAAGGATGACAAGTTCACAATGTTGTCTGGCATCGCCCATGACCCAATTCAACGAGATATCTTTACGCCCCTCTTTCTCGGCGCACAGATTGTTGTGCCACACCGAGACAGTATCGCACATGAACTTCTTGCTGAATGGATGAAGGAGCACCGTGTTACTGTTACCCATCTCACACCTGCAATGGGCCAGATTCTAGTTGGCGGTGCTACCGCCCAATTCCCTACACTGCATCATGTGTTCTTTGTTGGAGATCTCTTAACAAAGAAAGACTGCCGAAGACTTCAAGAATTAGCGCCCAATGCTTCCATCATTAACATGTACGGGACCACGGAGACGTCCAGAGCCGTGTCCTTTTTCGAGATCCCCAGTAAGGTTCAACAGCCCCTGTATCTTGATGATCTACCAGATATTATTCCTGTTGGTCAGGGCATGCTCGACGTTCAGCTATTGGTCGTTGATCGTAATGACCGGTCTCGTATCTGCGACATTGGGGAACAAGGTGAACTGTTTCTCCGAGCAGGGGGGCTTGCGGAGGGATATCTCGGAGACGATTCTCTTACTCGGCAACTCAATGAATCCAAATTTCTGACAAATTGGTTTGTTGATCCTGCAGTGTGGACTCGCGAATACGAACACACTGCTTCACAGGCCCCGAAGTCTTGGATGAAGCTCTACAAGGGACCACGGGATCGGATTTATCGAACCGGCGATCTCGGTCGGTTCCGTGTCGATGGTGCTGTAGAATGCACTGGCCGAGTTGACAGTCAGGTTAAGATTCGCGGCTTTAGAATTGAGTTGGGTGAGATTGATACTAATTTATCTCATCACCCTTTCATCCGTGAAAATATCACGTTGGTTAGGAGAGATAAAGACGAGGAACCAACCCTGGTGAGCTACATTGTTCCAGAGGCAAAGCGATGGTTTCAGCAGCTCGCTGAAGATGGGAATCTGCCTCTTGAGCCGGAAGCGTCCACGGAGAGCGAATCACTGGTTGCTATGCTTAAGAAGTTCCGCTCGTTGTCGGAGGATTGCAAGAAGTTTCTGAAAACCAAGGTTCCTCATTACGCGGTACCGACGATGTTCATTCCTCTCGCTCGCATGCCTTTGAATCCCAACGGCAAGATCGACAAACCTGCCCTTCCCTTCCCGAGCACTAGTGATCTCGCCATCTTAAACAGAAGGGCCTCAAGAAGCTCTTCACTTCAACCATCCCTCACTGAGACACAACAGAAAGTTGCCGGGATCTGGGCAGGAGTCCTGCCAAACATTACCGCGAGGATGCTCACACCTAATTCCAACTTTTTCGAAGAGGGTGGACATTCCATCCTTGCCCAGCAAATGCTTTTCAAAGTTCGAAGAGAGTGGAAAGACATCGATATCCCAATGAGTGCCATTTTCCAGTCGCAGACCCTAGAAACATTCGCCGCGGAAATTGAACATGCCCAAGACCCTACTGGCCTCCGACTTGACCAAAACTTCTACGCTAGTTCGACAATTGTGGATGAAGCATATTCAACAGATGCTCGTGATCTTGTTGGAAAGCTACCAGCTACTATCCCCAAGTCGATCAGTTCTGAGACTGCTGGAACGGCTTTCCTTACCGGCGCAACGGGTTTCCTTGGCTCTTATATTCTACACACACTTCTTGAAGCAAACAAGGAAATGCGTGTTATTGCCCACGTGAGATGCAAAGATGCTGCAGCAGGACTCCAGCGTCTGAGAAGTATCGCTGAGGCCTATGGACTCTGGCGCGAGGAGTGGAGTGGCCGGGTAGAGGTCGTCTCTGGCGACATTGCTCAACCTCAGCTTGGCATGTCCTCGGAGGACTGGGATCGCATTACTCAAGAAGTTGATTTGGTCATTCACAATGGAGCACAGGTGAATTGGATGCTGCCGTACTCCAGCCTGCGCCCGGCCAATGTTCTGAGTACAATGGAGTGCGTGACTCTTTGTACCAGCGGGAAGCCTAAGCGGCTCGCATTTATTAGCTCCACCTCGACTTTGGATACCGACTATTACATCAATCTCTCGCAACAAAGCGTTGCGTCCGGTGGACCTGGCGTCCTCGAGACAGACGATCTGGAGGGCAGTGCTAAGGG